CAACGGAACAACAGACTGGTTCAAGATTGGGAAAGGCGTACGGCAAGGCTGCATACTCTCACCCAACCTTTTTAACTTGTATGCAGAACACATCATGCGATGTGCGGGGCTTGGATGAATGCAAAGCTGGGGTGAAAATTGCTGGAAGAAACATTAACAACCTCAGATATGCAGATGACACCACTCTGATGGCCGAAAGCGAGGAGGAGCTGAGGAGCCTTCTAATTAAGGTGAAAGAAGAAAGCGCAAAAGCCGGGTTGCAGCTAAACGTCAAAAAAACCAAGATTATGGCAACAAGAATGATTGACAACTGGAAAATAGAGGGAGAAACCGTGGAGGCCGTGACAGACTTTGTATTTCTAGGTGCAAAGATTACTGCAGATGCAGACTGTAGCCAGGAAATCAGAAGACGCTTACTTCTTGGGAGGAGAGCAATGTCCAATCTCGATAAAATAGTAAAGAGTAGAGACATCAGAATGGCAACAAAGATCCGCCTAGTCAAAGCCATGGTATTCACTGTAGTAACCTACGGATGTGAGAGCTGGACCTTAGGGAAGGCTGAGCGAAGGAAGATCGATGCTTTTGAGCTGTGGTGTTGGAGGAAAGTTCTGAGAGTGCCTTGGACTGCGAGAAGATCCAACCAGTCCACCTTCCAGGAAATAAAGCCCGACTGCTCACCGGAGGGAAGGATAGTAGAGGCCAAATGAAGTACTTGGCAACATCATGAGAAGAAAGGAAAGCTTAGAGAAGACAATTATGCTGGGGAAAAGGGAAGGAAAAAGGAAGAGGGGCCGACCAAGGGCAAGATGGATGGATGGCATCCTTGAAGTGACTGGACTGACCTTGAGGGAGCTGGGGGTGGGAACGGCCGACAGGGAGCTCTGGCGTGGGCTGGTCCATGAGGTCACGAAGAGTCGGAGACGACTGAACGAATGAACAACAATGACACCAAAGGCTTTGCTGAAGGCAAACCACACTGCTAATTGGGTCATCCATGCCTCACAGGCTTTTGCTGAGTCGTCAGATTAAATGTGTCAAAAACATATTGGATGAGTGACATCAGTGGAAAACCTCTTATGCCTCTTCCACACAGCTGTATAACATCTACATTGAAATGAATTACTACAGCAGGTTTTTTGTTGTTTTTTTTCCGTGTCAGGAGCGACTTGAGAAACTGCAAGTTCTTCTGGTGTGAGAGAATTGGCCGTCTGCAAGGACGTTGCCCAGGGGACGCCCGGATGATTTGATGTTTTTATCATCCTTGTGGGAGGCTTCTCTCATGTCCCCGCATGAGGAGCTGGAGTTGATAGAGGGAGCTCATCTGCCTCTCCCCGGATTCGGGCCTGCGACCTGTGGGTCTTCAGTCCTGCCAGCACAGGGGTTTAACCCACTGCGCCACCAGGGGCTCCACTACAGCAGTGTGGACTCAGATAATCTAGTTCAAAGCAGATATTGTGGATTATCTGCCTGATGGTCAGGGTTACATGGCTGTGTGGAAGGGCCCTTAGAGACGATGTTAGTGGCACCATAGCTAACACTTGTTAATTCTGCACAGAAAGAGGCATGGAACGGCAAATCCTCTTTGAATACCTTTTACCATGAAAACCCTATGGTACGAAAATCAGAAATGGAACAGCAGATAGTATCAGAAGATAACGCTCCCAGGTTGGATCGACCTCAGAGCCCTTCTACACAGCCCTTCTATCCCAGGATATCAAGGCGGAAAATCCCACAATGGGCTCTTCCACACAGTCCTGTCTCCCAGGATATCAAGGCAGAAAAACCCACAATATCTGCTTTGAACTGGGTTACCTGAGTCCACACTCAGATATTGTGGGATTTTCTGCCTTGATATTCTGGCATATAGGGCTGTGTGGAAGGACCCAATATCTGCTTTGAAATGGGTTATCTTAATCCATACTATGGAGCCCCCGGTGGCGCAGTGGGTTAAACCCCTGTGCCGGCAGGACTGAAGACCGACAGGTCGCAGGTTCGAATCCGGGGAGAGGCGGATGAGCTCCCTCTATCAGCTCCAGCTCCTCATGTGGGGACATGAGAGAAGCTTCCCACAAGGATGATAAAAACATCAAATCATCCAGGCGTCCTCTGGGCAACGTCCTTGCAGACGGCCAATTCTCTCACACCATGAGTCACTCCTGACACGACAAAAAAAAAAAGTCCACACTCAGATATTGTGGGAGTTTCTACCTTGATATTCTGGGATATAGGGCTGTGTGGAAGGGCCCAATATCTGCTTTGAAATGGGTTATCTGAGTCCACATTCAAATAATGTTGGATTTCCTGCCTTGATATTCTGGGATATAGGGCTGTGTGGAAGGGCCCTGGGGCACAGCAGAGAACACCTGAAAGTAGAGATGTGGCTAATGATGCACCTGGGTTCAGACACCATCTACATTGCCATATAATGCAGTTTGAAACTTGTTCTGTAGGCCAAGTAAGAATGGCCCCCATTTTCCTAGGACCCTTCCACACAGCCCTATATCCCAGAATATCAAGGCAGAAAAATCCCACATTATTTGAATGTGGACTCAGATAACCCAGTGCAAAGCAGATATTGTGGGATTTTCTGCCTTGATATTCTGAGATAGAGGGCTGTGTGGAAGGGCCCCTAGTTTCCAACAGACCTCACAAGCTTTGAGTATGCCTGCCATAGATGCAGGCGAAATGTCAGGAAAGAATGCTTCTGGAACATGGACATACAGCCCGGGAAACTTACAGCAACCCAGTGATTCTGGCCATGGAAGTCTTTGACAACTTTTAACTGTTTGAGGCAAGTGTGAATGTAGCAATGGGCCACCTTGACTAGCATTGAATAGCTTTGCAGCTTCAAAGCCTGGCCGCTTCCTGCCTGAGGGAATCCTCTGTAGGTGGTGTTAGTATGAATAACAAAATTAAGTTTCATAGAATCAAAGAGTTGGAAGACACCTCATGGGCCATCCAGTCCAACCCCCTGCCAAGAAGCAGGAATATTGCATTCAAATCACCCCTGACAGATGGCCATCCAGCCTCTGTTTAAAAGCTTCCAAAGAAGAAGCCTCCACCACACTCCGGGGCAGAGAGTTCCACTGCTGAAGTTTGTTGTTATTGTTGTAATCCTTGACTTTGCAGTTTGGGGAAGAGGCATTTAGAAAAAACCTCACTAGACAACAAACCCTAGAATTCCTCAGGGTATTAGGTTCTTGTAGGTTTTTTCGGGCTATAGGGCCATGTTCTAGAGGCATTTCTCCTGACGTTTCGCCTGCATCTATGGCAAGCATCCTCAGAGGTAGTGAGGTCTGTTGGAAATAGGACAATGGGTTTATATATCTGTGGAATGGCTGGGGTGGGGCAAAGAGCTCTTCTCTGCTAGAGCTAGGTGTGAATGTTTCAACTGACCACCTTCATTAGCATTTGAAGGCCTGCCTGAGCCTGGGAAAATCTTTTGTTGAGAGGTGTTAAGATGTGCCTGGTTGTTTCCTCTCTGCTGTTTTGCTGTTGTAATTTTAGAGTTTTTTAATACTGGTAGCCAGATTTTGTTCATTTTCATGGTCTCTTCTTTTCTGTTGAAATTGTCCACATGCTTGTGGATTTCAATGGCTTCTCTGTGTAGTCTGACATGGTGGTTGTTGGTGTGGTCCAGCATTTCTGTGTTCTCAAATAATATGCTGTGTCCAGGCTGGTTCATCAGGGGCTCTGCTATGGCTGACTTCTCTGGTTGAAGTAGTCTGCAGTGCCTTTCATGTTCCTTGATTCGTGTTTGGGCGCTGCGTTTGGGCACAACCAGGCACATCTTAACACCTCTCAACAAAAGATTTTCCCCCAGGCTCAGCCAGGCCTTCAAATGCTAATGAAGGTGGTCAGTTGAAACATTCACACCTAGCTCCAGCAGAGAAGAGCTCTTTGCCCCACCCCAGCATTCCACAGATATATAAACCCATTTCCTATTTCCAACAGACCTCACTACCTCTGAGGATGCTTGCCATAGATGCAGGCGAAACGTCAGGAGAAATGCCTCTAGAACATGGCCCTATAGCCCGAAAAAACCTACAAGAACCTAATACCCTGAGGAATTCTAGGGTTTGTTGTCTAGTGAGGTTTTTTCTAAATGCCTCTTCCCCAAACTGCAAAGTCAAGGATTACAACAATAACAACAAACTTCAGCAGTGGAACTCTCTGCCCCGGAGTGTGGTGGAGGCTCCTTCTTTGGAAGCTTTTAAACAGAGGCTAATGGCCATCTGTCAGGGGTGATTTGAATGCAATATTCCTGCTTCTTGGCAGGGGGTTGGACTGGATGGCCCATGAGGTGTCTTCCAACTCTTTGATTCTATGAAACTTAATTGTGTTATTCATACTAACACCACATAACAGAGGATTCCCTCAAGCAGGAAGCGGCCAGGCTTTGAAGCTGCAAAACTATTCAATGCTAATCAAGGTGGCCAATTGCTGCATTCACACTTGCCTCAAACATGAAAGTTTTAAAAGGCTTTCATGGCCGGAATCACTGGGTTGTTGTGTTTCCCGGGCTGTATGTCCATGTTCCAGAAGCATTCTTTCCTGACATTTCGCCTGCATCTACAGCAGGCATACTCAAAGCTTGTGAGGTCTGTTGAAAACTAGGGGCCCTTCCACACAGCCCTCTATCTCAGAATATCAAACCTAGTGATTCCAGCCATGAAAGCCTCAGGGTATTGCCATGGAAGTTAAATAGGGCTGCAGCACACTGTAGGGGCGACTGAACCTACTGCCTCTTTGAATATGCCTCCTTCGCTATGAATGATGGAGCTCCCAGCCAATCAGAGGCGGACACATCCATTCCCGACCGCCCCCTTCAGGAGTCTAGGCGAGCGTGTTGGACCGTACCAAGTGAGCTCATCGGAGGGGAGAACTCGGAGAAAGCCAAACTGTCATTTCTGCCTGAAAATCACAACCTTATGCCTTATTTCGGCTCCTGCGCGTGGAAATAATTCATGAATGTACCGTGCCCTAATGTCCAGTTGTTTAACAAAAGATTGACGTCGAGAGGAATGGTACATTCCGGAGGTCCGGGCGGAAGCGGTCTCTCCTTCCCTTGGCGTGGAGGCGCGGCGCAAGATGGCGGCCCCGGGTAAGGCGAGGGTTGAGGTGGCAGCGTGGAAGGAGGGCTCTTTTTCTCTATTAAAGGAAGGGCATGATGCCCTTTGCTGTTCAAGGCTGAGTCGGGGAAGGTCAGGCTAGCATGGCCCTCCGGTTGTAGCTTTCATTGAGTGGAAACACCGAAAGCTGTCAGATTTTGGTTCGGATAGGGTCCTGTGTGAGGCCTTCTTTCGCCCTGACAGCATCCAACTGTGTTTGGCTGCACCTACACTGCAGAATGAATGCAGTTTGGCACCACTTCATGGTATCATGGGATACCAAGATCTTGAGCCTTCTCTGCCAAAAAAGGCTGGTGCCTCACCAAACTACAAATCCCAGGATTCCACAGCATTGAGCCATGGCAGTCAAAGTACAGTGGAGTCTGCTCAGCGCCTTCCAAGTGACAGTGGTGGAGGCTCCTTCTTTGAAAGCTTTTAAACAGAGGCTGGATGGCCATCTGTCAGGGGAGCATACAACTCCTCTGTTGCGCCAGCTCCACTGGCTGCCAATTTGCTACTGGGCACAATTCAGAGTGCTGGCTTTAGCCTTTAAAGCCCTAAACGGTTCTGGCCCGATCTAGCTGTCCGAACGCATCTCCTCCTATGAACCAGTTAGGATGTTAAGATCGTCTGGGGAGGCCCTGCTCTCGGTCCCACCGGCTTCACAAGCACATCTGGCAGGGACGAGAAACAGGGCCTTCTCAGTAGTGGCCCCCCCGGCTGTGGAACGCCCTTCCTACAGACATTAGATCGGCCCCCTCCTTATTGGCATTCAGGAAGAGAGTGAAGACCTGGCTCTTCGAACAGGCTTTCAACTAAGCAGTGCAATTGATTGATTACTGGAATATGGATTAATGGACAACGAGATCTGATGCTGATTCTATTGATGAGACGTGATGGATTGTTGTTTTCCTGTATTGTTGTATTGATGTTCTGATGTTAATTAATTGATATTACTGTTTTAAATGATTAATGATTTTGTACTGTGTTGTTGATACTGGTTGTTAACCGCTCTGAGTCGCCTGATGGCTGAGAAGAGCGGTATACAAGTGAAGTAAATAAATAAATAAATAAATTTGAATGCAATATTCCTGCTTCTTGGCAGGGGGTTGGACTGGATGGCCCATGAGGTCTCTTCCAACTCTTTGATTCTGTGACTCTTCTGGGTCCCCTTGAACAGTCATCTGTGTTTAGCCATGGCAGCTAAGTGTCAAACTGTATCAATTCTGGGTTGTTGTAGGTTTTTCGGGCTATATGACCATGTTCTAGAAGCATTCCCTCCTGACGTTTCGCCTGCATCTATGGCAGGCATCCTCAGAGGTTGTGAGACTCCAGCCATGAAAGTCTTCAACAATACATTGTATCAATTCTGCAGTGTAGATTCACCCTTTCTTGCAGCATAGCAGGAGTGATAGAAATGGGCTTTACCTGTTGAATTTCTTATGTTATGTTGTGGGTCATCCTGTGACTTGAAAACATACAAAATATGCAGAAATAACATAGCTATAATGCATTGCGTGGCATGTTCTGTGTTGAGGTAGTAATTGTAGGCATTGTCTTGACAGAATGAAGACAGCAAGGTCAGTGCAATGTTTTAGTCAGAAGGGCATCAGTGTTCATTAAACTTTTCAAGTATTTGAGCATTGGATTACGATTCTGGAGACCGAGGTTCAAATCCCTGCTCAGCCATGGAAACCCAATAGGTGACCTTGGGCAAGTCACACACTCTCATCCCCAGAAAACCCTGTGATTGTGTTACTAGAAACCATAAAGAAGGCATACAACAATAACAACAAAGTCCAATAGGCAGTTTTGATGATGCCACACGTTCCTGGAATTATTTGACCTCAGCACTTACCTCTATATGTGCAGTACTCTTCTCTGTTAATGTATTTTTCAGGCCTTCTATGGGTATTCCTTCAATTTCATGAACTGCCAATGAGGTTCCTTACATTTAGGTGTTTCTCACTGTTCAAGACCTTGTAACTCCATTTGTAAAAAACAAAAACCTTAAAATGAATGTTTTATATTCTTTGCAGCATATAAGACATAATTCTTTTATAGTAAAACATATTTTGATGCCAGCAATTTTCGGTAATCAAAAAGCAGGCTCTATTCATATCCAAGATTTCTTTTAAAAATACATAAAAATGTTACCAAAGTAAAACTGGCATTTACTGAATTTATTTGCAAATATAGCAGTATTAGATTAGTGAAAGTAAAGGAATGTTAGAAACAAGCCAGACCTTTGACTTACCGTCCCCATTGTAGCCTTCTCTATTTGAAGTGGGTTGCTATCTAGTTTTTTTATGTTAACATGTAATTCAGCTAAAAGTATTTTTCACAGAGATATTCACTGATGTGTTTTCTCTCTCCTAATTTTTAGGGTATTTTGCATATGTCATCTTAATCTTAATATTTGTGGCAAGCATACAGGCTCTGACTCCTAGCCACTTTCTCACAAAACATGATCTTCAAAGGTTACGAGCTTCATTGGAGCGTCCATTCACTGATTTGGAAGGAAGCTATTACTCTATTGTGGGATTGAACAAACTTGGAGGAAAAGTAGCTGATGAAAAGGTGAGAGAGGACATTGACAAAATTGTCAAGTGATTAAGAGAAACAAATATTATCCCATCACTAACCAGGAGGTTGCTGCTTTTTTGGAGCAGTCCTACTTATTGAACAATCCTGATCTTTCCTCTGCTGTCTGTATTCTTGTAGAGTTAGTGAAATTAAGTATATGCAGTCACAGTTAGTCTTATAATTTTTTCTCCTCTCTTTGGACGACAGAAAAAGAAATTAGACTGGCAGAGATAGTCCATTATTTCATTCTAATGCCAGCAACTGACACTCAGCTGCTACCAATGTTGACTAGATGGCTGTTGACATTAGCTTGCAGTCAACCTCTGGAAGAAAAAGGAGGCAGATTATCTATGTGGTGTTTTAAATCCAAGGTGGCCATTCACTAACAGGAAGTATCTTTGTAGTAGAAGAGCGCTGTATGACAAAGGTGACCTAAAATCCTTAACAGAACACTAGACCTATTAAAACAATCTTTGCTCAAGATTTTGCATGTCCTTTCAATTGCCCGTTAGGTAACAGATTTTATTTATACATATAGACTTGAGTTTGGGACAGCATATTACAAGGTGGTATTACACAGAGGATTTCACAACTCTACTGTGCAAGGAATGTAACTATGTTATTTTAGTGTGATAAAACATTTGAGCAATATGTTGTGAATGCAGCCAAGCATCCAAAGTATGGAAACTTTTGTGCCTAATATGAATTTTAATATTGTAGTTCATTGCTAGATATTTTCCCTATGGCTCTTGCTCGTGGGGGTGTAATTCAGCATCAACACACAAAATACATGGACTTTCCCCCTTTTTTCAGTCTCTTACGTCAGTATCTGTAGTTGGCCCTCCCCAGTTGTGGGTTTTGCCTTTGCAAGTTTGATCATTTGTGGATTTGATTGATATGTTTTCTCTGGGACTCTAGGTCCTCCAGTGGAATTCAGTGGTCAGCATCCGGCAAAGGTTGCGCATAGAGTTGTGCTGGCATATGTTCAGAGTTTTAGAGAGGTGCTTTCTCAATGAAAAAATGTTTTCTTTACATTTGGTTTTTTACACTTTGATGGGGATCCTGTTCCCCTAACCCTGGTGAATGTGAAAGCTAAATGTATATGAATCTTATTTATTTATTTATTATTTTAAACATTTATATTCCGCCCTTCTCGCCCCAAAGGGGATGCAGGGTGAAGCACAACATACAAACGACAAACATTCAATGCAGGGACATGAATTCATTATATGCATACATAAACATTAATAACATTTGTCTCAACATTAAAATACACTGTTTAAAACCATCTATCATGAATCAGTCACAGGTTCAGTAATAAATTCTCAGTGTCATATGACACATTGTTCAACACTATGCACAGGTACAGATCCCTGCCTGGTTATCAAACTTTCTGGGTGACCCAAGCCAAATTGTTCTAAGTTCTGTCTACTTCAGATCCTTCAGCATAAATAACTCTATGGTATTCTTGGGGCAAAGCTTCTTAATTTCAATAAGGTTGACTATTCTCCACAGTTTTATTTTTTCATACGAAGTCCAGGAATACAGAGTTTGTACCTAACAGTGATTTATATCTTCTTTTTCAGTCATCAATAACAGACTGACTTTAAGAGGTGGTTCTTCAGTTTTTCTGCAGCATACTTTTTAGAGTTATCTGTTTTGGCATTGTTGATGTTACCTGTTTGCTACCTCCCCCTTAAGACTCTCCCAGATAAGAAGGCAGAGGAAATCCTTCCTATTAGCTTCACCAAAACTTCCCAGATTTGTGTTTCTTCCTTCTCCTTTCTTTTAGCAATTCCAAAATTGCAGTTTCTCTCCCTTCCCCAACTAACTCAGTTCAGTCAGCATTTCTATTACCAAAACTTCAACTCATCTCACTCTCTCACCTCTTCCACCTTGCTTACAGTTTCTCTGGGAGAGTTGTGCATTGTGGGCAGGACTTTCATTTATTTATTTCTGGAGGAAAGCTCCCTTTACTACTGTTCTTTCTTTGTCACGTTTCAATACACTTGTAAAATTCAATCCTCCATGCCTTTTTGCTTTTTCAAACCAAGGTGGCTTAAATCTTACTTTGTAAGGACTGGATTGTGCACATATAATTTTTATGGAGTGTTATAATAGAATTCTTCCATAAGGTGGACCCAAAATGTAACTTGTCACCTGTTTTGTTTTGTTTTGTTAAGGGTTGCCATTCTCCAGCTCAGTGGTTCTCAATCTGTGGGTCCCCAAATGTTTTGGCCTTAAACTCCCAGAAATCCTAACAACTGGTAAACCTGGGGACCAATAGGTTGAGAACCACTGTTCTAACTAATAGCCAAATGATCGGTAAATTACTTACACGCCTCAATCAAAGCCATTTGATATCTTATGCTTATTGTTTTGTGCCTTATAGCAAATGCCACAAAAATGCGATGGCACCTTCCTCATTCCTCCTGTAAGTGCTGTACTGAGGCATGTGTGGAAACATACAACTGGAAAAACATGCTCTTTGCTTTATTCTTTGTTTTTTTATTTTACCTCTCCATTAAATTCAAGGCAGCATATGATCCTAATAATAGGTCTGTGAAGTTGATTGAGTGTTTGGACCAAGATCTCCCTGGGTTTCATGGGTGAGAAGGGTCTTGGACAGCCAATATTCTCACCTCTGTATCACACTGGTTGTTATTGTAGATGAACATCTTACAGAGGTATAGAACACTTGACCAACTAACTCAGGTTGCATTTGTTAACTTATGTTCATTTTTAGTCTTCCTATAGATGTTTCGTAGGTAGGTCGTTTTGTAACCACCTATCTACTCCTGGGAGTGCAACAAATTGTTTTTATTGCAATAGAATATTTTGTGGAATTATCTTATAATTACTTCAAATTGCATCCATTTCTATACAGTCAGCCTTCCACATTCACTGGGTTGGGAGTACAAAACCTACAAAAGTGAAAAATCACTGATAAAAAAACCTTCCTTTTTTAAATCTGAGAGAGCACTTCTCTAGGAACCTCTAGGTACGGCAGCATGACTCTGTAGAGGTAGATGTTGACCATAGAGTTGCAGCGATGGACCTAGAGATTCCTAGAGAGACAGTTTTTAATCAAAACCACAAAAGTCAAAACAGCAAATGTGGAGGGCCAAGTATTTTTCTCATGTAATATATGTTTTAAACAGCGAGGCTTGAACACTTTTGTTAGGTAAAAACCAGGAAGATTCATTTCTTTAAAAGTTTTATCTTGTTTGTACAGGCTGCCTGTAACTTCATCAAATCAAAGGTGGATCCAAACAGCATTGATTCCCTTTTCTATGCTGCACAGGCGAGTCAAGCATTGTCTGGATGTGAGGTGAGTTGAGTTCATGCAAAAGCAATAGTAATAACAAACATATCTTTTTTCTGGCTATTGGGATATATAGTTAATATCTTGAAGGCACTTAAGATGTGTGACACATCATATGAGGATTTGAGTATAAATTTGGAATATCCTTTTTTGGATAAATTTAATTTCTGTTGTATTGTGTGTGTGTGGGGGGGGGGGGTCTTAAAGAAAGACTCTTCCTGAAATCTGTAGTGCAAGAAGTAGTGCAAGGAGACTGATCATGCTCAATAACCATGAAAATCTAACTAAGTTGGTGGATCAGAAAACTAGAGGGGCCAGGGGATGGTAATGAAGCATCCTAGAGGGGATCATAGCTGAATACAAACACTGTGTGGCAGATTCAGATGTTGCTGCTTCTTCATGCTAAATCCCTTTTTTCAATAGTTAATCTTTAAAATTTCCCTTTCCCACAAGGACATCCAGCATGCCTTGGCCAGTGCATTCAAAGAATTGGAGTCTTATATTCCAGAGGAAATGGCATGGTTTCCATTGACAATTTGTTCTTTATGGTAGATCCTCCGGGGAGGCCCTGCTTTCCATCTCGCCATTGTCACAGGCGCGATTGGTGGAGACGAGAGACAGGGCCTTCTCGGTGATTGCTCCCCGGCTATGGAACTCCCTTCCTGGTGAGATCAGGTCGGCCCCTCCCTCCTGTCCTTTAGAAGGATGGTAAAAACTTGGCTGTGGGACCAAGCTTTTGGGACAGGGCAATGAAGCGACAATGGGAAAGATGACAGGGCCAATTGGATATGCGGATGACTAGGACGGTTTTAAATGGTGTTATTTTAAATGGTTGTATTTTAATATTTCGATAAATGTTTTTAATGTTTATGTATTGTATCCAGTCATTGAATGATTGCCATGTATATGCTGTGCTCCGCTCTGAGTCCCCTTTGGGATGAGAAGGGCGGAATATAAATGTTTTAAATAAATAAATACATTCTATGTTTTGAGGTGGAGTTTCTGTGTAATTATACTTTAAGGCCTCATCTACACCACCATGTAAAATCCAGGTTATCTGATTTGAACTAGATTATATGGCAGTACAGACTCAGGTAATCCAGTGCAAAGCAGATAATCTGGATTTTATATGCCAGTGCAGATGGGGCCTAAGATGATGGAAATTAAGGAGATCTCAAGTTCACTCTACTATTTTCATTCTAAGGAATTTGTTAGCCAGTGTTGGGAATGACCTTTGCTTGTGATCCTGGAGAGTCATTACTGAGTGGACTGCTCTTTATTTATTTATTTATTTGCTTTATTTATACCCCACATTTCTTACCCCATTGAGGGAGTCAAGGCAGATTAGAACTACAGCAAAATTCATTACTCTGGACAAAATACGGCTAAATAAAGAAACAGTGTGACCCAATATAACACAGCTTTCTCTTTCTGGACTTGATAAATATATTTGTAAGCCTTTCAACCTCTCAGATATCATATATTGATTGATTGAATTTTCATCCCACCTTTATCAGGGCAGTTTACAGCAAGTTTTAAAAATGCAGCTAAAGCATTAATTTCCTCTCTGACTGAAAAGCAGTATATGTCTGACTATGGTTCATGAACAGTGTAAAACTGGAATAACATTTTTCATCAATTTCCTTTCTCAGGTTGCCATTTCAAATGAAACTAGAGAGCTGCTACTTGCTGCTGTCAGTGAAGATTCTTCAGTAAGCCAAATCTACCATGCCGTTGGAGCCTTGAGTGGCTTTGGACTGCCTCTGGCTTCCCAAGAAGCCCTGACTGCCCTGACATCTCGCCTTAGCAAGGAAGAGAATGTCTTGGCGTAAGTGTTGTTTCTTTAAAACACATTTTTATGCATGTTTATTCAAAAATGAATAAGAAATTAGTTCAGCAGGGGATGGTAGCCTAACATGATTGCTTAAAGATTGTTTCTGCCATTGCGCTTCCATGCAGCCACACTTTTTTGGATGTTATTGAATTGTAAAGATAATCTGTGTGCTTTGGATGGCTTTTTCAGGACTTTCGTGTAGTGAGAAAACTTCACAATTTCATTTATTTATTAGAAATATTTATATTTGAAGAAAACCACTAAGTAATGTTCATGAGATTAAAATCAAGAATTTTCCAAAGCACTGTGGCATAATATAATACACTTTCCCAGAGCTAATACATTATTTCCACATTGATCACCTTCCAGCCATGCATAAGAAGGATATGCGGTGCTTCTCATTGTAAAGACTGGTTTAATTGCCACAAATACTTGGTATTCTTGAACCGCTGTGAGTCGCCTCCGGGCTGAGAACAGCGGTATAGAAGCAAAGTAAATAAAGTAAATAATAAAAAATTCTTGGCAACACTTGGAGCTTCTCCATGTTTTGAACTGTACATCATGCTTCCTCTAATGTATTGCACCATTCTGGTAATCTCAAATCTCTTTTTAAAATAAAAAGAAAAAACTGAGCCAATAGTTCTTTTGGTGCTTTTGTTTTCCTAAGATACTTTGGCATTGACAAATTGCTTTGCAGCTATATTCCTGTCTGTTCCTTGTAATTATTACTTTAGTTTTTTCCTTGCTTTGCCATCATTTAGTTCTATAGTGCACTGTTTTACCATTAGGAGGAACGATAGTAACCTAGCGGGAGAGATTTTGCTATTGCTGCTCATAATTGCGTAATTTGTTCCATATGCAGTTAGTGAACATAAGTGCTAGATGTACTGATGCTTGAGGTACTATTAGCTATGAAAAGCAAGCCCTACAAATCTGGCTTTCCTACTATGTGAAATATAAATGTATTGCATGGGATAGATCTGACCTTAGTGATCTTTATTCGGGTATTGAATTTAAACATTTGGGGCTGCTGATGCTTTATTTCATGAAAGCAATGGCAACTTTATTTTAACATAGTAGCGTGGCTCTTTAGTTTTTGTCCTACTTTGTGCATCTCCTCTGTTATGAATGTTATTGGTGCTTTCCGTTTTGTATGAAGCACTTTGACACCTCTGGTGATATTGGCAGTCTGCTCTTAAGCACTCTTGATACAATGACATGCCCCAAAGTGTGCGTATGAGAGACTGTGTGTTTGTATCTCCTCCACACATTCTGTTTTTTATTGTTTCAGAACAATCCAAGCTTTGCAGACAGCGTCATACCTATCTCAGCAGGCAGACCTAAGAGGCATTGTGGAAGAGATAGAGGTATTTAAGTCATTTATTTACATGTTTCTAATTTTCCCTTAAACTTGAAATGTTTTAAGGTGCAAAATATAAAACCAGTTTAAAACCTTCTTTTAAAACATTTCAATGTATTTCAGATACCATTAAACTTCTAAAAGCAGAAATAAATTGTTGTTAACTTTGATAGAGTCAACTTAGACTTATGGCGACCCTATGTATGAGAGATCTCCAGGTTACCCTTATCAAGTTCTGCACATTCAAGGTTATGGCTTCCTTCACTGAGTTCATCTACCTTGTTTACTCCCGCCCAGAATATTTGAAGGAAGATAGTTTTGTATTGCACAGTACTGGAGAGCAGTGCAGAAATGTCCCTTTTCCTGAAAACCAAGTTTCTGCTGTTGACAGAGCTTTAGGGCACAATATCTGTCTGTTTCTCAGTCACATTTTCATTTCTCCCTTTTTTCCCAAAGCAATAAGGACAGCTACATTTTCACCTAAACTATGTGAAGCCAGTTATGCAGAGAATATCCCACCCAAATGTGCACACCATATTTTGTATTTGAACAACAGTTTGGATCCTGGTCTCAAAATCTAAACCATACTGGCTCTAGGTGATCTGATCTTGCAAGGGACATGTAACAAATATAATTTCTCAGGCAGCTATGGAATATATCAATGTAAAGTCTCAAGTCATATTGCCAATCGCTGTACAAGTGGCAGAAAGAGGTTAGTTATAAAAACTAATGCAAGTGAGCCAGAATAATGGTATCCTGTGATTGGGATAAAACCTAGTTATCTCAGTATCTTTATATAGATATTTCAGATGTGTGAAGTACTCAAGAATTACACTTCAGAAGGACGCTTCTCTATATCTCAGAGAACCACTGTACTCCCAGGCCAATTTTAAATTTTGGTGCATTTTTTATTACTCAAAATGCCCCCACCACACATCCTCTTTTTTCTAGTTCTCTCTCCATGTGCATACATGAATTATATGTAAGCAGCTGAAAGTCCAAAAAATTCCCCATACTAAATATTTCATGATATTTGAATATCTCTTCCCCCAAATAGTTGCTGTTGTTGTTGTTGTTGTTATTATTATTATTATTATTATTATTATTATTATTATTATACATCACACAGTCCTAGATGCTTGGGAAGAGTTTGACTTGTGATTTTGTGATATGAAATCCATCATATAGATCTCGTTTGTTGTGACATACTGTGTTTTTGTGTCAGTAAAATAATAATAATAATGTATTAATGGATGCAGGCAAAGCTGGACAGAAAAACAAGAAAATGGATGACAATCCACTACTCATTACACCCACGTAATGATGTCAACAGATTTTATCTGCCCAGAAAATCAGGAGGCAGAGGGCTTCTGCAAGTGAAACAAATGTTAGAAGAAGAGAAACATGGACTGGCAAATTATATGAAAGAATCAACATTAATGGAAGTCAATAGTAGAAAATTGCTTCAAGTGCAAAAGACAAAAGAGTGAATACCATAAAAATACAGTGTAGAGCAGAAAAGAAAACTGGCAAAAATGGCTCTCCATTGACAGTTCCTAGGAAAAATTGAGGGCAAAATTGACAAGGAAAAACATGGATGTGGTTCATGGATGTGGAACTCTGAAAAAGTTGACTGGGGGTCTGATTCTTTCCAAGAACAAGTAATTAGAACAAATGCCATCAAAGCCAGAATTGAAAAGTCGACTACAAAGCTACTGCAAGCAGATCGCATAGATGGACTACAAGCAGAGGCATAATACTGTTGCTCAGATGATCTACTGGAACTTGTGCCACAAATACCATCTGCCTGTGACAAAAGGCCACCCTACTTGGATCTGCACACATTATTCGCCAATACATCCCATAGTCCTAGACACTTGGGAAGTGTCCAATGTGTGATCCAATACAAAAGCCAGCACAGTGATCTTGTTTGCTGTGTATTAATCTTTTTTAAAAAGCAAATCTAGACTACTTTATATTTTTAAACAATTTGCCAAGACTGGAATGAGAGATAAATAGAAGGCACAACAATTTTGTTTTTGTTTTAATACAAATTAAACATGAAAAAACTTCCCCATTTCAATAAAAAAAATTCCACAAATTCAGGAAAGTGTTTTAAAAGGTCAAGTTCTAGATATTTAAAACCTATCCCACAATCCTTGTTAGTGGTAAAACAGTGGTGAAGATCCTTTTCTGTGATCATGTACCAAAAGAAAACATTCTACAGATAACCTTTATTCCACTTCTACAAGGGTCATGTCGATTTTCAAGCCGCAGCATCTCCAGTCCTGAGCTGGATAGGTCATCAGACCACTTCCTAAGGGATGAACAGATTTTCCTGCCCTTGAAATGTTTGGCACGTGCTAGGTTTTCCTACAGGTTCCTGAACACATGCAACTGAACACACCAGCTATGTACTAATCTTGATGTATTAAAAGTTCCTCTCCAATTCTAGGCTGTTTGGATGAATAGCATTTCTGCCATTAAATTCAAGATTTTGGTTCATTTGATGCTAACTTCAGGTTAATCATGAATCTATGAATCTGATGGGCTACAGCAAAATTCCTTGTTTAACCTTCCTGCAGGATCTTGTTGCCAGACTGGATGATCTGGGAGGAGTGTATCTACAGTTTGAGGAAGGACTTGAGACAACTGCATTGTTTGTGTCTGCTACTTACAAACTCTCTGACCATGTAGGGACAGAGCCAGCAATGAAAGAGGTGGGTACTATTTAGATTTTGGTTTTTCTTGACATTGAATTACTGTAGGGGTTTTGGATAAGACAAGTATTAAGAAGAGCATTTGTTGTCATAATGGTTGATATAGCAATAAATAGCAAGTCCAAAGCAGAAGTGGGATTGATGGGTTGAATGGAATCCATAAACCTGTAATAACTGTCATTATTTAATCACTCTATTAGTTGAAACAGGAACATCTTGTTCCATGTTGTATAAAAGTGTAATGTCAAGGTCATCCTGTTCTAGTAAAGTAGCCATGTTGGACAGTAGTAGCAAAAAGGATCCTGTTTAAGAGCAGCAATTGCCCAGGAGAAGGGCATAGGAAAAGCCAAGCTGGTCTGTGATCATACCATAATGTGGTTGAAGCAAACCAAGGATGGCATATGAGAGACAGTGTGAGAATAATTGAAGACAAATAGGAGTTCAAGGCAGCTGAAGGAAATGATCAGACAAGCAAGAGGCTCTCTAGTAATCTATAAAGCAAGGAATGTCAAATATTGCTGCATGGAGATGTTGGAATAGCCAAAGAAATTGCTTTGGCCATGCTAATTTACAGCTAGCTGTAATTCAACGCAACTGATCTAATTGTCTCAGCATCTTGTTTGTAAGGCCAGCCAAGCCTTTTCCTTCTCTTTTTTTAGTTAGTGCTTCACTCTCCAGTTCTCAAATGAAGTGTTCAGTATCTGGCTCTTGTACATTGGGTGGAGTTGTACTTCTGAATAGTTGCGGAACAGCTGTCATCTTCCTCAGTCTGGATCCTATTATCTTGGCTTTCTTCTTCCTTATCTGAGGAGGCCTCCTCCAAGTAGGGAATGACAGAAAAATTGAATCATAGTGACGCTCAAGATTCATCTGAACTTGCCTTCTGAAAGGACTTTGTGTGTATTTGCAACATATATTTTCCATCCCCTCTTCATGTAGCAGTCCTTTTATAGCTCCTATGCAAAATAAGTGAAATGGAAACAAGAATTTAAATATGTGTCAGTATTTTAAAGCTCTTTTAGATTAGACCAGAAGTCTCTCTGATCCAAATATTATACTCACACAGTCGCCACTAGGAAACCTGTAGGTGGTTTCTCCTACTAACCTTCACCAGTAACTGGTATGCCAAAGTATAGTCTGGGAATGTCACAAGTGATGAAGTTCAGTTATAGTGACAGGGTGTTAAAACTTTAAACAGAAAGGAGATGAGAAACATCAGGTAAAAACTGATTAAATTGTGACTGAACTTTTGCTGACCTGATGATATGGAAATTGATTGAAATTATAGAGTTTTTATGTGTCACCCACTGGGATATACTTATTTTCCCCCTGCAGATTAAGATCTCAGTCGCCAGACTTCATTTCTTTGAACTAAAAATTTAATTAATGCCTAACATCTCTAATTAACAGTGGAAATGGTAATGGACTAGAATGACCCCTAGGTTATGGATGGAGCAACTCCCTGCCTCTTTTTGAGAATATTGCTGCAAAATAAACTTGATTCAAAAAATATTTCTTGCCAAGTGAATCTGAGGTGACATTTTATAGACTATGGTGAAAAAAACAAACAATTAGTACAATTAAAGATAATTGTTCAGTTGGAATTATAAATTATGTTGTCAAGTAGTGGTGAGTAGTACATGTACTTTCTTCTCTCCAAAAATTAGAATAGTGGTTATTTTAAATGGAATGAGGTTGTGCCTTTTCCCCAAAAATATATTTGTAGTTATGTCCATGAACAGTGATATGAGGAGTTCTTAGATCAGCACTGGGGATTTTAGGGCAGTATCTGAACTCCTAATTGAATGCAGACATTTAATGCTGTATGTTTAAAAATAATAGCGATCATGATCTTTCTGGACCAAAAAAGGTTAATTCCAAGAGTTCTGAGATTACTTACTAGACTCCAGTTAAAAATATGCTAAACCCATTTTCCTGAACCACTATTTCTGTGCCATCTTTGACCTTGACTCGCCTTCCTCCAGCATTGCAGTAGATGGAAGACTTGTAAGGTCAAATGCCAGAACTTTTTGATTTGTGAGTGATTATATCCTTATCTACCCCCTCAGACTTCCCCTATGTCTTCTGAGCATGGCTGTGAGCCTTACTGTAGCTAAGGCTGAAGTGAAAGTTCCCAATAACAGTCTGATGTTGTGAAGTACTGTTATTATACTCAAGTGTTCAGGAGTGGCTTAGACCTATTAGCTTCACAGAGTATCTGTTCTAGGTAGAAATGAGAACTTTAGAACTGTTCTAATATGCCTCAACACAGCTCCCTAAATTGTTGAACTTACCTTGGCGGCCTTGCAAGCTCCTGCACTTCATAATTTACCACTACAGCACTGCTCCTTTGACTAGGCCAGGGTCCTCACCTGGCCTAGTGTCTTTTGCATTTGTTGGTTGACAGACCCAAACTTGTACAAATGCCATCCCTTCTTGGTGCAGAGGCTAACCTGTCTGGTTGCCTGTATGGATCCTGAACTCAACCATCTTACCTAAGATTTGGTTTCTGTGCTCTCTTTTTCCTTTTAGGAGCAGATCATCCAGCTGGTGAATGCAATTTTCAGCAAGAAGAACTTTGAGATTCTTTCTGAAGCATTCAGCGTAGCTTGCGCTGCAGCTTCCCTTTCCCAGAATAATTACCATTTGCCAATCATTGCAGTCCCTGAAGGGCCTGCGGCTGTTTCTCACCATCAGCCCATTCTCAAGGTATGTTGTTGCACTGGGATCTCTTCTGCCCATGTGGTCCATAATTCCCAGTGGCTGATTATGCGAAAAGAGGATAAGACTGAAACTGGATTTTGAACTAAGGGTTAGCTATATCAGCCTTTTGTAAACTCAGTTTGGCAGCTCCTGCTGTGTGGCCAAAGTGGAGCTGGCATGACCAGCGAAAGCCAACTCTTGACATTATATTTACTGTGGAAATAGATGTGGAAAAGAGATTCTTCTCTTAGCATTGTTCTACTGTTATCAGTCTTGCCCATGATATCAGATGCTAACTAAACCAATCCTCTTACCTTCCCAATCCCTTCCATTTTAACAATATCTGCGGATAACTTCTTAAAGATGTCAGTCACAAGGAAATTCTTTATAACAGTTCCTCGGGGAAATGGAAGAACTAGATTTTCAGTGGAATGGGAGATGGAGGCTTGGGTTAAGGTTATAAAGTTACTTTGTCAAAGTCCCTGTGTTTAGAAATTAACTTCTTCTCATTACAAAGCTCTAAATGTAACACGTTGCATTATTTTCTGAGCTGTTTGTTTGCCTTTTCTTTCTGATAATTACTTATAGTTAAAATTGGTTCGAGAACGGCATAAAACCTGAAACTATCCAGTCAAAAATGAACCTAGAAATGACTTTGAAATTAACTGTTCATTCTGTTACTTTGGAAATATGCCCTTGTTCCATTCATTAAATCTAGCTTTATGGGTATGGAGAACATTAGGGTGAATGGATGAAACTGAACAGTTTTGAAATATATCTTTCCTATGGAAAAGAATTTTTGCCAAATATCTTTGTGGATTTGGAGTTCCTAAAACATGTGAAAGTCCATTTTACCTCTCAAAGAAGATTAGATACAGATAAACTAGAGAAGAAAGAGAGAGAAGACAAGCCACCCTAAGTCTGCTAGATCTACAGAATGTAGATCTAGATCTCACTAGATATCAGGATGATTTGCAGTAGATAAATACATATTTTTCAGTTCATGGCTCACCTGGCCATATTTATGCTACTGACATGAACAAAGTTTGAACAAGCAGAAATTAATTTTGGTGTCTTGAGTTCCTGTGGTCAGAATAGTTAGTTCTAAGTTTGCCTTCTGCAGAAATGCAGAATCTTATTGGATCTTGGGATTCTAGTGAAAAATTCAAGTATACCTAGAGTCTGCCTTCTCTGGCCTGCATGATAGGGTAGCTGTCTAAATTGAAACAGCAATCAGATGTTACTCTATGACACATGCACTCAGAGATTGATGGAAGGGAATCAGATGTTGTTTCTCCATCTGGCTTTGTCTCTTTCTAGGGTTTGTTGGCTGGTTGACTGCTTTTGGAAGCCGTAGTGGAGAAAAACCTACCCTTATCTTTCAAATCTCTCTTATTCCTTAGCTCCAGGTGACAAATGTTATGTCACAGCCACTGACCCAGGCAAGTGTGAACTTGGATCAAGCAAAATCTGTTGCTACTAAAGCCACTGTCCTCCAGCAGTCTGCCTTTGCCCTGTCTGGGTAAGAAGTTGTTGCATCTAAATATTGAATATAAATTTGAAGATGCACGTGTCACCATCACTCTGCAAAATACTTTTAGATTTTTGTTTTGACAGCTAGGATTTGACTTGGTTTTGTTTTGGTTTTTACCACAGTTGTGTTTGTGAGCCAGATTGTCAATTGGGGAAGACATGACTAAGAAAATCAAAGCATAGAGGCAGTCTTGTATACAGGTTTAGTAATATTCATATATGACTAGTTCATGACTCTCCCTTTTTGGTAATGGTTATTGAATCCAAGTAACTTAGCCTTCCTCTATAAATGGTGCTGTGTTATTTTTCTGTTGCTATGTTATTTTCTCTTTGGGCTAATATAAGCCAGAATGTCAGTTTTGGCTTCTGATGTTAACTATTATTGAGCAAAAAGACAGTCAGGTTCCTGCCATTTTACAGCTATTATTTTTATTAACAGAGATAACTTTGAGCTGAACTTCATGAGTGTTAAGCCTGCCAGTGGCTACTATGATTTTGCAATCAGCATTGATGGAGACAGTCGATTTATTGCAAACAAAGTGGAGGTGAGTACATGTTTAGAAAGTATTTGGAACCTGTAGCTGTTTATTGGAGCCATTCTTGTTCCTGGTAACTGACGTTTTTCATATTTATCCATCTATACCCTGGTCTTCAGTGTCAGGATTTGTTACAAAACCAACTTTTAAACAATAACAACAAGCAGAATGCTTTAAAAGTCTGGATAACCAAAATGTCTCAGATTGATAATGAAAATACATCAGAGTGCTGAACAAATCGCATTGGGAAGAGAAATCCTTCAGCAGGATGCCATATACACAGTTAATACTGACTTTGTTTAAGGTAGCAAGGCTATCTGAAAGTCTGTTATGGTGATCCAAGCCTTTGGAGAAGGTTCCTGGAATTAACTGTGCATACCCACACCTAATTAGGCTTTCGCCATGTAGCTGGCTATGTATCAGAATGTTACAATTGGGCTCAAGATCCCAGCAGACTTCAAAGATGCTACCGTCATCACCTTTTTCAAAAAGGGGGAAAGAACAGACTGTGGAAACTGCCAAGGTATCTCCCGACCAACCTCCGCTGGGAAAATCCTCGCAAAACTTGCAAACCGCCTTCGGCCTATTTCATAAAACATCCTCCCCAGAATCCAAGAACGGCTTCTGCCCCTCCAGAGGAATTGTGAATATGATCTTCACTGCACAGCAACTCCAAGAAAAATGCAGTGAACAAAATCAATCTTTGTACATGGCATTCATTGACCTTGCAAAGGCATTCGACAAAGTGAATCGCAGTGCTCTCTGGACCATCCTCCAAAAAATCGGATGTCCTGACAAATTTGTGAACATCCTGTGGTTCCTCCATGTTGACATGATGGCAACAGTCGTGGACAGCAGTGGCTCCCAAAGTGACCCATTTAAGGTGGAATTGGGTGTCAAAGAGGGATGCGTCATTGCCCCAATCTTATTCTCCATCTTTATCGCTATGATACTGCACCTTTTTGAGAGGAAGCTTCCTACCGGCGTGGAATTCATCTTTCGGACAGATGGCAAGCTATTTAACACTCAACTTCAGGAATGATTCCATCAGCATTGCCCCCAGAAAATCCTACAAATCTCATGGGAAGACAGTCAGAGAAATGTCAGAATGCTGGAAGAAGCAAAAAACCACCAGCATTGAAGCAATGATCCTCTACCATCAAATTTGCTGAACTAGCCACATTGTCCTAATGCCTAATCACCGTCTCCCAAAGCAGTTACTATACTCTCAACTCAAGAATGGAAAACGGAATATTGGTTGGACAGGAAAAGGGATTGAAAGATGGGCTTAAAGCCAACCTTAAAAACTGTGGCATAGACACTGAGAACTGGAAAACTTTATCCCTCAAGCATTCTATAACTGGAGGTCAGCTGTGACCAACAGTGTTGTGGAATTCGAAGAGGCATGAAGAAGGGTTAAAGGAAGAAAAGTGTCAAGAGGACGGTGCGTCAAACCAATCCTGACCAGGACCACCTTCCACCTGGAAATCGACCTCACATGTGAATCAAGAATAGGTCTCTACCATCACCTACGGACCAAGACACTAAGATCACCAAGACACTACACTTGGAAGACAGTCGTACTAGGACATGAGTGATCACCAATAATGACAGGCCATTTCTCAGAAGTTGAGGACTCGTAACATAATACAAAAATCTGAGCATTTATTAAGCAGCAACAATATTGCTCAATGCCAGAACACGGTGAGGAACCATATGTATTGAGACAGGAGCTAATTAAATCCATGCTTCCAAATCCTTGGTTCTAGTATTATGTAAAACTACAGAACTCTCTTGTACCCAGAGGATGGGAACAGAATTCAAAATGACCTCTACAGGTAGGAAAACTAGGGCAAAACTGACAAAATGAATTTCAGAAAGGTTAAGTAAAAGGTATTACTATATCTATGCAAGAAAAATGAAGTGCACAAATACAAATAACTCTTCTGTGTTGGTAGGGTTGTGTGAGGCAATATGCTATGCTGACAGCAGAAGTGCTGTTGTTAGGGTCCCCCATGTTAGGCAGGCTTTTTTACTAAGGAGTCGGGAATGAGCCAGATGGCTACTGAGCATCAGCAGTAGTGGTACATAATAATAATAATAAATAAATGAATAAATAAATAAATTTCACTGTCAGAGGATATATCAGAGCAACAGTGGCACCATGGCTAATGCTTGCTAGTACTGTGCAGAAGAAGACAGTGGTAAACTACTCTTGAAGATGTTTACCTTGAAAACTCTACAACAAAAGATTTTGAAATGACACAAGAGATAGTGCCAGAGGATGAGACTCCCAGATCAGAAGGCATTCAACAAGCTACTGGTGAAGAACAGATGGCAAATACGAATAATATTGTGGCTAATGATGAAACTGGACTCAAGCTCAAATGAGATTCAGCTGTTTATTTATTTATTATTTATTTACTTCATTTATATACCACTTTTCTCAGCCCTTAGGCGACTGTTGACATGCTTTGAGGTGAAAGGAAGATCTGAAACCCCCCAACACATATCATAGAAACATGGAATAAGAAGCATGAATCAAGGTGTGCTAGATGCTGTAAAGCAAGATATGGAACATATAAACATGTGAAATAGCTACATGAGACAGGAATGGGACATTTTCAGACCTAATCAAGAAATGGAAATCTCCGATGAAGTGGGGTGTCATTAATAGTAAGGAGAGCTGTAACAAAAACCAGTCAAGGGATATTGTAGAGGCAGAAGTCAAATAAATTCAGAAGATGTTATTCTGGAGTCTAGCAAAATCGGACATGCTGTTAATCATAATTTATTGGAATACATAAGTTGGAAACGGGAAAATCAAAGATGGAAAAGTTGGCAGGGAGCAAGAAATGAAGCAGTGAACCAACTGATTGAATTTTGTGATGCCAACACTTTATTCGCAACAAACACGTTCTCCAAGCAACTCAAGAGGCGACTGTAAACACAGACATCACCTTCCTGGTAGAAATCAGATAGACTAAAATATTTTAAGCAGAGGCTCCATTTCCCCTGCAAAAACAAGACTGGTAACAAATTGCGGCACAAACCATGAACTACTAATATTAAAAGTTAGTGTAAAGCTGAAGAAGAACACTAAATCAATTTGTAGAACACCAAATACAGTTGGCCAGCAAATACTAGCCACCCTTTTATCAAAGATAGAAATGGTGATGCCAACAAAAAAGTTCCAATTTTTGGCCTCTCGGTTTTCTCAATTTGGAGATGGTATGCCCAACCTGGCACTTGGACAGTCACTTTTGATATCAGTTACTTTGAATTCATTATGGCTCACCTAATGTCTTTGTTGATGAATACAAAATGTAATTTAATATAATTGCAATTCCTACTTACTGCAGTCAATATTTAGTTATATATCTTTAAACATTTGACATTTGAATTTCAAGAAATGTATAATTGCTCTGAAGGAGGCAGGCAGTCCATTTCTCTAGTCTTCCAAACAATTATAATAAAGCTAAGATGTATTTGCAAAATATCTGAGACAGTAGCAGCCATATGCAACTAATACCTTGCTCATTCTGATATTTTGTTAGATCCAGTAAAGGTAATGCCACTATGTTATCTTAATAGTGTTTCTCGAAGATAAACCCAACTATCTTTTGCTTGCCGTTCTTCTCTAATTTTCCTTTTTAAAAAGCATTACCAACATCGCAATAGGTACTGATAAGTAAAATTGAGGAAGGCATTGCGGTTTTCATTCAAGCATTGTTTACTCCGTTTGTTATTGGTTATTTTTGCCTTTTTATTGTCTAATTAATTGAAAAATTAGTATTTAAGTATTGCTGCTCACTCTTGGACAGCTAAAAGGAGGCTCTTGTTTACAGGTGCTGACATCTGCCATAAATATCAAAATCATTGTGGTAATTGGAGTAATAATTTATCTTGGGCATCAGAAAAGGAGTGATGGTGCTGCTTGAACACACTGAAAACATAAGTAGTGCTAGTGGTTATGCATTAATGCTGATGGGTTTGTACGAACCCAGCCTAATAATAAGCTACATTTTTCCTGGGGGAAACTGTCAGGGAAGCTGCTTTTTAGAGGCTGTCATTAGTGATAATTCTAATTAATGTACTCAAATGTTTGAAAATTATGATTTTAAGTTGAAGGTAGTGTTCTGGGCAGAAAGACTGCATTACCTGATGTGTGTGTAAGAGAGAACGATTGAGTAAGAGAGAGAAATAAAATTATTTCTCACACATGCAGAAGCTTATGCACAAACCAGGCTGACCATAAACATTGGCAAATGCCTTATCCTTGTGCTGTGCCAGAACACAACTATAGAGAGAAGTTTTTCTTCCACTTTCAAGAAGACAAAGGATAATCTTTCCATTTTAGTGAGTCAAAAGCTGGAGCCATATTCAAATTCTATATATGTGGCCATTTTTTCATGATCTTCAATTTCCTTATGCACTGACTGTCTCCTTAAGTTAATCTGCAAAGGAGGCATCTAGCAAAGGTACCTTCACTCACAAATTAATGTAAGAGTCCTTCCCCATCCCCAGTTGAAACTTAAATCAAAAGATGAAAATGGTGGATGTTGTATAGAAAATAAATAAGATAATTCTGCATTTGCACGGCTTTTTCCAAATAATGATTTGGTTTGTTTGTTTGTTTATTTACGTAATTTCTATCCAGCCCTTTTCAGCCTGAAAGTGACTCAGGGCAATGTACAGAACCGGCACAATTAGATGCCATACATATATATATATATACACACACACACACACACATACATACATATCTCAGTTAAAAGCAATTAAATTACATCATACTACATATAAAAACCATAGAAACAATACAACTATATACATCTATAAAACCAATGTCTTCCAGTTTAAATTCCTCATCCATTTACATCATCTTCACCGTTGTGTGTTCATATACCTATTTGAGTTTACCTGGTCACACTGAAGTTCCAAACGCTTGCTCAAAAAGCCAGGTCTTCAGTCTTTTCCGAAAAGTCAGGAGGGAAGGGCCGATCTAATATCCTTGGGCAAGGAGTTCCACAGCCAATTCTGCAAGCGATCATATACTTGAAACTGGAAAATATTTACATTCTTGTAATCTTTGCTACAGTCTTAAGTGTTTCAAATATATATTTTGCTTGAGAGCTGTTTTGTATTTTTAGCATCTGTTCCTGTGTTCAGTAATGTGAGTTGATTTTTTTCTCCATTGTTTCAATTTCCTTCAACACATCCCATGAGTTTTGCCTGCTGGTATTCTGCTTTTATCATAATTTAGAAAAAGAAAGTTATGACAATTTATTTTCTGGAGATTACATCATTCTCATTTTAAGAGAAAAGCATGATATAAATTTGATAAATAAAAAATAGAAAAGTGATGGAGACACCATGGTTTGTGGATTTACTTCTCATTTGCAGCTGAAAGTCAAGGTCTCAACAGAAGTTGGCATTTCAAATGTGGATCTCTTCACTGTGGATAAAGATCAGAGCATTGCACCAAAAACTACCAGGTAAAAGATCACCAGGCTCTATATCATGCTAAATAATAGCCCTGTAACTCCATATCCTTTGCCAGCTTTTTACTGAAGGAAGATTGGTTATCAGCAGATTCTCCTGCTGTCTTGCTGAGCTTTGTTTGGGTTGCCTGTCTGCGTAGTACACACAGTTAGATGTTTATTACATTGAAGCAGTTAGCCAAGTAGCAAGTTAAAAGCAAAAAAGTCCCTCACTTATTACTTCCAGTTATTGATTGGAGATATCAAGGATACTTCCCAAACTATTCTTCCTTTCAGCTGGAAAAACATGTGGTTCAGGCTTGGCCCCATGTAAGCCGCTCCGAGTCCCCATTGGGGAGATGGTGGTGGGGTATAAATAAAGATTATTATTATTATTATTATTATCAGAAACATCTTTACTTTTTCTCCTACCTACCTGTGCTGACAATAGTGGGGAGCTTAATTTGCATTTGTGTGATGGCATAGAAGATGGGTCCATATCCTTATGCCATTTGAGCCACAAAAACTTTGAAGGGGGGGATTCACCCCCAGCACTAGAAAATTGTTTTAGACCCCTAACTGGTTCAAAGGCTGAGTATTAACTGAGCTTTTTTCCTTGGGTAATCTCAGGGTCCTTCTACACTGCCATATAAAATCCAGATTGGTGAACAGAGAAGACAGTTATACTACCTGAAAGATGATCTTTCCCTAATATATTTGGATCTCTTTCATTCTCTCTTTCCCTCTTACGTAGAAATATTGTACTACTAAATGTTGTCAGCTGCCCCACCCCCTTTTTTAAGACAGGCAATTGGCATATCATTAGCCCGCAGTTTGGCCACCACTCCTAATTTAACAGCAGATTGTTTCAATGGAGGGAAACTGCCCCAAATACAACTTTGCTACAGCTTTTATCTCCTTCACAAGATAGACAGTGCCTTAGGGCTTTCAGGCTCACTTATCTTGCAGGGGACTGGCAACAAGAGGCAGAGTTTGAAACTATTACTTATTTGGGCTACAACTCCCAGAGGTTCCAAGCTCTGGCATGATGTAGGTTGTGGGTGAGCAAGAGGACTTAATTGTGTGGTTTTCTCCCAAAGTAACTATTACTTTCCCCCTCTCCCACAGGGTCACTTACCCAACGAAAGCCAAAGGATCCTTCACTGCTGACAGCCATCAGAATTTTGCCTTGTCTTTCCAGTTAGTCGATGTGAACACTGGAGCAGAACTCATCCCTCACCAGGTTAGTTGCTTCACATTATTAACTTGTCTTCTGCTTTCTGTAAGTGGACATGTCTTTGCCAAGGACATCTTTTTGAGGCAGCCTCTGTAAGGCTTTAACAATACTAAAAATAAATCTGAGTTGCCCAGATTGTTTTGAGGTAAGGAAGGCAATTTATTCTCTCTGTGATTTGCTGATTCCATTTCTTAAAAACCTGGGAAACACGAAAAGTGAATAAATGAAAAACATGAACAAAAAATAAAGTTGCTATTTATGTGCTCTCATGAAGGTGAATTTTACCAGTTTGATCACTCGTTCAGCTAACCTGTTAATAAAGTTGTGCAGTAAAGGAGGCCATAGCTCAGTGGTAATTGATCTGTTTTGCATACAAGTGGAGATTTCCAGTGTAATCTCCATTCTTCTGACATACAAAGAGTGATAAAGGATCTGTCTTTGTGACCTTAAAGATCCATCATCAGTGAGAGTTAATGATAGATCTATGGTCAGTCTGACCAAAAAGAAGCTTCACCTGTGGATGTTCTGAAGCATGCTGCCTGGAATCTTTTCAATGTGCGGATCATAAATTCCTACTAAGCTATTACTCCCCTCCTCCCAAATGCTTTATAATAAGGATGAAACAATTATTCAGTGTAAGTGAATCTGCATTTGGGAAACATGGTTAAGAGAAACACATTCCATATTGTTTTGGAACATAGTTCCCTGCAGAAAAACCACTGTTTTATATTTTTAAAATCACTGCTTTGTGCAAAAACAAAACAAAACTCCAAGTACTTATGTGTGTGTGGTGTTTAAGGGTTTTTTTTTGGGGGGGGGGGGGGCACAAAAAATTGCACCAAATCACAGTGTGGCTTTTGAAACAATGTTTTTGTCCATGTGAAAAATTTTTTGTACAAAATGGCCAAATTTTTCACATTAAAAAACTTTCTAGAACCCCACATCTTTTTTTTTGTGTGAAAGATCACAAAAGTTTTGTTTGTTGCATGTTATGCTATGTATTATAATAATGAAATAAAGTACATCAAAATGTATTCTCTTAAATCACTATTCCTAGAATTACTTCCCAGTCTTACTTTTCTGTTGGGAGCCCTTTTCTAAAAGATGGGTACCATGTAATAATAGTCTCCTAGATGCAACATTATACTGTTCTGAGATTGGGATGTAAAACAGAATGGCACACTCTTCTTTTTCCTAGTTTGTCCTTCCATGATTTGTAAGCACTTTTTACTTTTTGGGAGAACAGTGTGGGCAATCACTGAGAAAATGATTGAGCCTTATGATTTATTCCAAGCTCTAAAAGTAACACCTTTACTATTCTCCCTGGACAGAAAATCACATGCCACGTTGTCTCATTTATACCACCAGAAATAAGGGTGGTATTCAAAGTCTTTCATGTTGTACTATCTGATGCTAAAATAAGTGTAAAAGCCTTACCACTTTTTGTTGGGTGCTAAGTGTAACTGCCTCTTCCTGCAGACCTTTGTTCGTCTTCACAATCAGAAGACCGGTCAAGAAGTAGTGTTTGTTGCAGAACCAGATAGCAAAAATATCTACAAGTTTGAGCTGGATACTTCAGAGAGGAAAACAGAGTTTGATTCTGCCTCTGGAACCTATACTCTTTACTTGATCATTGGCGATGCTACTCTGGAAAACCCAATCCTCTGGAATGTGGTATGTTTTACTATTTGCACACCGCTTGCCTGTAGTATCAGTGTTAGATATATGTAATATCATTGGCGTAAAATGTTTCAACACGTAACGTCACGTTGTTGTCATGTTGATCTTTGTATCTTCTCTAGGTAAAGCACAATTCTTTGCTCACCGTTTTTGAGGGAATTTAAAACTCTAATGCTCTAACCTTTCAGTTAGAAAATTGTCTTTTTCCTCTTTATTTTAACCATAACTTGCTAAGAGGAAAATACTCTAAAGGCAAATGCATTCATGCTCAAATTTACCAAAAAGTGGTTTGTCTGCCTGTGCAGACCCTTTTGGGTGATAGAAAGAGCAATTGAGGGATTAACCATTGCCAAAATGAGGATTGACCCAGTGTAAATCTTTGTTATGTCGATCAAGGCCTAGGGCTCAACTTCTGTCTTTTAAGCCATCATATTTAACATAAACTGAAAACTAATGTTACTACTTTGTGCAGACATTGCACAGAATTAATTCCTAGTGCTAAAAAAGAAAAGAATCAACAAGTCTATTTTATTTTTAATTGCTCCCATTCCCACAAATTTGCATTAACAGACAGATGATCCTTCTCATTTTTTGTGTGCGCACATGAGCACTTGTATTTGTTATACCAACTGGCAGTGTGTAGGAATGTTCCTGGCGAAAGCAACATATATTCTTAACATAACTATATAATATTCAGTATTAATCAAGCATAAGTAAAGTGTTTATAGGAGGTTCATTTACCAATAACATCCTTTTCAGGCTGATGTTGTCATCAAATTTCCAGAAGAAGATGCTCCATCCACAGTTCTGTCAAAAACCCTTTTCACTCCAAAGCCAGAGATACAGGTACAGTGCAGGAAATAAGTTGGTTACTTTTCTCAATTTTTCTTCTGAGCATTCTTAAGATAATTTTCAATGTTATGTGGCCTTACAGATATCTAGTGTAAATAAACCTACATATCTTATAGACTAGAGGTCCCCCCTCCCTCTCTCTTCTCCCAGGATTCATAGATGGATGCATACCATGTATGAATTGCTTGAGGCACCAGCTTTTTGCTACAAGATTATACTGTTTTGTTGAATCTGTAGATTTTTTGGCAATTCCGACTCTGCACAAAGGAGGAAGAATTTGCAAGCACCTGAGTGAGGACTCAGTTGGCACCAGTTCAAATCACCACCTTTTTGTTTCTTTTTGATGTTTTCCCTGAATATAAAAACTTAATCTGGCACTTTGGCTGGAGACCTGGTGACATCAGTGGGCCCTGCTATCAACTCTTCATACACAGGGACCAAAATACTTTGGTCTTTAAAGTGTCTTGCATTATATCCACCACCTTCTAGACAGTTTCCAAATTTGGTGGTGATTTAGTATACAGAGATTTCTAGTACCCTGAAAGTAACCAAGAGCACCTGCTGTTTCTGTTAGGTTGAACAACAGACTCTGAATTGTGTGAATTCTATAGAATAGAGTTACAAATAAATGAAGGGTAGTTATTTTGACCCATAGTTTTCTGTCTACTTGCTGAAATGAGCTACTTTTCTGATCAATTTTACCTGGAACTACTTCTTTTATAGCACCTGTTCAGAGAACCTGAGAAGAGACCTCCCACTGTGGTATCTAACACATTCACAGCCTTGATTCTCTCTCCACTGCTTTTGCTCTTTATTTTGGTAAGTTTCCCATAGCCAAACCAGGACATACTTTCCAGTCAGTGCTGGTTTGAAGTTAGAAGTTGAGAGGAGATAAAGCTTGGCCACAGGGAGACAATGCAGTGCAATGCTAGCTAGAGTTTTATGGGGCCATGTCAGTGTTTATGTTATATGGTTTCATTCTGCTATCAATAAAACATTTAATCAACATAGTTGATGTCTAAACTTTTCCCCCTCTCAAATTTCTACTTTTGTGTATGTTTTCTCGGTTTTAGGTGACAGCCAGTGAGACTTTCCAACACAGGTGTACTCTTTTTATGTAAACAGTCATTTTGAATAGAATTAATTGTAAAAGTTAGTACACTTGTTATGATTTCTGATCTACATACACAAGTATGCTAACACAGAGATAAATACATGCATACATAATTAGAATCCTTTCTTAAGTTGGTAGATTTCTTATTTTCAGGGAGGATCAATGTGATTTGGTTTCATTGTCTATTGATCTTTTTCACTTAATGCTTGTTTTGTATCTCTTCAGTGGATAAAGATTGGGGCCAACATATCCAACTTCAGCTTTGCTCCAAGCACCATTATATTCCATTTGGGCCATGCGGGTAAGTGGCAGAGAGATTCCTCTCCATTTGTCTTTTACCACGTAAGCTCGGAAGCAAGAGCCTGATGACACATGAGCTCACAACCTATTAACTATAATGGGCATAATAGTACCTTTTGTCCTCCCCCCTTCGCCCTATTTCTGTCTCGTAGAATTATTTTTGTGCTGCTAAATACATGTTGCCTATCAGTTAAACAGCTGCCATTAGACTAGGTTTCTCTTGCTTCCATTTAGATACATTTCATAGTACAGAATGTTCCAAATTTGCTTGTTATTTAACTTTGGTGTGTGTGTATACGCACATAGCATTCTGAAAAAGAGGCTAGGGGGCCCTGAGTCATTTACCTAGTTTACAGACATTACATAAAGTGCCTTGGTTTCTCTGCCACAAGTCTGTAGTATTGGCTAAAGATTACCATTGCATCAGTGCATCTCTTGTTATTTCCTTGTGTTGCTTTTCCTTCATAATACTGAATTCTCTAACAAAAAAAACACGGGAAGCTGTTGTGTCCTGGAAGACATCCTCTACTTCTTTGAAATCCTGCACATAAATATTTAGTTTTGCCTTCCCCATAGCTTCATGTTTCCCTAATGAAATTGACTATTGTTTAGAAGCAATATATTGGTATTTATTGAGCCCTTTCAAACTAGCTTATTTATCATGTCAGAAGCAAATTGATGGTAGTTATAATGTATTGAAAAACACAAACAAAATTAAAAACTTGGCATTATACTAAATGTCCTTTGACCAGAAACTGGCCACTTGAAGTACCTCTGGTGTCACTATGAGAAGGTCCTCCGTTGTGCTTGTGCCAGGGTCAGGCAGCATTGTAGTAAGTGTTCTGTGGTTTGTTCTTCTCCACACTCACATGTCGTGGACTCCACTTTGTAACCCCAATTCTTGAGCTTGGCTTTGCATCTCACGGTACCAGAGCGCAGTCTGTTGAGCACCTTCCAAGTTGTTCAGTCTTCTGTGTGCCCACGGGGTAGTCTCTCATTTGATATCAGCCAAACATTGAGGTTCCAGGTTTTTGCTTGCCACTTACGGACTCTCGCTGGCTGAGGTGTTCCTGCGAGTATCCCTGTAGATCTTAGAAAGCTATTTCTTGATTTAATGCGTTGATATGCTGGCTGATATCCAAACAGAGGATGGGCCAGAGATGTCACTGCCTTGGTCCTTTCATTATTAGCTAATAATGAAACTAGCTAATTGAAAGGTTCAAGTTTGCATGAATTTGAGGTAGATGTTCAGGGCATATGTTGAGTTACATTTATACACATCATGATTTTCAAAGTGGACTTAGTAGGACTTAATTTACATGTTCTGTAACTTTCAGTGATAACTAAATGTGGTTCATATTCAACTTAAAAATTGGAGCAAATTCTTTTAAGCATGTTCAGGCTGAGGGTGTAGATTGCTTGTCTATTGTGAGAATGGCAGGGGCTTCTCACTAATATTAGTGATGCACAGAAGTTGTTGGATTATTTCCCCTCAGAGCTGCTAAGAGGCAGACTGTCTGGAATTTCTTACTCCGAAAGACTATGCTCCTGTGAAGGAATTGAAGTAGAAACAATAGAGCACATTTGATTGCAGTGCCATTATTACACAGTACAATCTCACCAACTTTTATATCCAATTCTGTCCCACATGACCAGCCATCCCCTGCAGAGGATTGCTACATATCTTTTAGAGGACCAGTGCCACAGGATGACTCTTATAGTGGCAAAATTCCTAGCAGTGGCAACAAGGATGAGAAAGAAACTAACCTCCGATAGGAGTATTACTTGAAACCATGTAGATGTATCTTGCATAATGAACTTCTCCTGAGAAGGGAGAATTTATTAATGACTGTTTGTTCACTGATGGATTTATGGACCATAATTTCTAGTCAACAACATAAACTGCCAACTTTCTCAACTTTCCCAGAGTCTAGTTGAGAGATATAGAAACTTCAAAATGCTGTATCCAGTGGAGGCTAATATTTCTGCCTTTCCTATAAGGTCTTTTAGATCTAGCACATATGCACTCTCTTCTTCCCAATCGATGATAATTGATCACCATTTTGGAATCTGAAGTAATCTTTGTGATATAGCTTCACTGTTACTTCCATGCAATCCAGATAATGATGGAAATTAAGAACTGGTATGCATTTATTCTATATTGCCTGTGCTGTGAATGTTGATGATCAGTCTTTCCCAATGTAATTTCACCCCCATTGCCTTGGTGTCTTTCTTTTCTTAATAGCCATGTTGGGGCTCATGTATGTCTACTGGACCCAGCTCAATATGTTTCAGACCATGAAGTACCTGGCTATACTTGGCAGCCTCACCTTCCTAGCAGGCAACAGAATGTTAGCACAGAAAGCTGTGAAAAGGTAAGAAGCCAAACATGGATATTATTATAGGTTCTTCTGAAGATAAGCAGGGCAGCAGACAATAAATAAATAAATGGTGTGCTATTTGGAAGAAGCCTAATGCATAATGGTCTTCCCAGATTCTTTGGTGTATTTTTTCTTGACAGCAGTCATTTTCACGAGGTATTATCACTACTCTTGCTGCCTTGTGATGCTGCTGTCTTTCAATGGAGAGGTTCCATGTATGGGGAGATCAAGTGATAAAATAATTTCTGTAGAGTGTTCTTCTTCTAATATATTTACTACACCCTTAGCATACTGACACACATCCTGGCAGGGTCCACAGCTTTGTCCTCCTTCTGAAAATGCAGCTGAGTATTGGAACAATTACCTTAATTCCCACAAAGTTCCAATCATAGTGTTGCTCTTTTACATTGTGAGAAATCCAAGCAGCTTCCGCTGACTCTACAATGATAACTCTTCAGAGGCTGCTGTCTCTCAGTTGGTAATGCTGAAAATTCAACAACTAAAACCAGCATCATTTGCAGTTATCTTCTCCTCATTCCCCTTTTAGACCTCCAAAGGAAAAACTTGATTAACCCTTAAAATTTTGACCATACTGTCTCATTTGTAAAAGAATGATACATTGGAACAGGAAAGGTTAGCCATCTCCTAACTTAGTGCTCATTGAATGTTTTGAACTAGATTACCTATGATACCTATGATGGTTAAGACTGCTGCACAGTCATCCAACAGGTTTGGAGAGCACCAAGTTGTTTGAAGGAAGCTATGTATAGGCAGAAGTGAAAAGTTCTGAGGGCACAGTTTGAGGACCATTTAGAACAGTGGTGTTTTGACCTACAACTCCCAAAATCCCATCCAGTTTACCAGCTGTTAGGATTTCTAGGAGTTGAAGGCCAAAACATCTGGGGACCCACAGGTTGATTTAGGACAATGTTGTCATGTGAACACTCCTTGGAATTCTTTTTCTCCCCCATTTACACAACAGCAGGAAAATATGATTTGTCTTTCCAAAGTTAAGAGATCATATTTTAAAACTTCACTTGTTCTGTTGATTTTTTCTCTCCTTTTTCACACAACTGCAAAAGAACATGCTGTCAAGATATTAATGACAAGGCTGGCTTTACAAGCACCATGTGCATCCAACAGGGCATCCTTGTCCAGATGTGTTGGAAAGCTCCCAGGATTCCCCTGGCAGCATAGTTATAATCCAAACATTTCCTAGTTTCCATGTTGGCACAGGGTATTGCTTCTTGATTTTATAACCAGCATTTATATTTCAGGCTGTGAGAGGCACTTCATAGCTTAAACTGATGCCACTGCATATTCACTTAGACTGGTATATTTTTTCATCTACAGTGGGAGTTCAGTTATAGCCATAAAACATTTTCCATGTAATCTTCCTTTACTCATACGAATGCTCCTGGAAGTCAGTTCCATGACCATATTTGTCATGGGAACAGAATTCATAAACAAGTGGGAGAGAGGGAGGGAAGAGCTGAGCCACAGGTCCCATTTATTCATTGATAGATAGATGTTAAATTTGGCATCTGGGATGCATGTACATTGATGGTGTTGTATAAATAATTTAAATTATAATGATGATACAGGTTGTACACATGTGAATGGGATCCCTGCTCAGTCATTGCTCACAATCCCAATCATGTGTCGTTCATATGGAGACATACTGTTGACCAATGTCACATTTCTGTTGTTTGTAGCAAGAGGCTTGGATATGGAATAGGTTTGATTGCAGCAGTAGCATAGTCCTGTTCTTTCTTTAAAGTATTTGTCACAGAAGCGAGGAACCTGAACGACAATCTCTCATGCTGGTTGGTAGGTGGGACTAAAGCCAGAGGTTGGCACAACTACAAAAAATCAATTTCTCGCTGCTATTTCTGCTTTTCTGTTTTCCTACCTACCTTCAAAGTTACTGAGGAAAGACAGGTTGTTGTTTTGTTTTTTGTTTTTTTGCAGTGATCTGAAATAAATGCTTTTCTAGGGCTCTTGAAATTACATCAAAGACTACATGAGATCAGACCAAGGGCCTCTGTTTGCCCACTTCTGGTTTATTATGCATGAGAAGTTTTGAAGAAGGCTAAAGCTACCAGCACTTAGAAATTGTAACACATTGAGGCAGCAGCTGTTACATTCCACAGGGAGTCATTTTGGTCTTCTACTCTGTTTAAAGGATGGTTAGAAAATCTTTGACTCTCTTGATGCTTCGGGCTTCCACTTCCCTGAAGTCCCAGCTTGCATGGAACTATGGGAGCTGTGTCCAAAGAGTCAAATAATCTTTCCCCTGACTTTCCTAGTGGCCTTATTGCTGTTTTTACAAAGACAGTTTACAAACTGAGAATGCTGCACTCAAAGCATTTCACATTTAGTGGTTTGGAAACCCAGAGAAATGGAATGCACCAAGGAACCTACTCTTATAGATGTGACGCAGAGTGAATTAAAAATTCCCAGGAGTGTTCACCATGTCAGACATTCTTCCATTTCTTCCTTGCTGTGACCTACACTCAGCTATCAGACACTGATAGGGATGACATGGAGGCAAGGCATGCAGTAGAGGCCAGTCAGTATGGGTAGATTACCCACACAACAGCAACAGAAAGTTTGCTATCTAAAATAGCTGCCAAGCAGCCTTTAGTTTCTATTTCAATTCTACCAGGGCTTCTAGCAACATAAATAAAATAATAATTCTTGTTAGCAGCAGCTGTGCATCAAGGTTATAGTAAAATAGGTTGCATCTCACAAGACAAGATTCTCAATTTATTTTCTCAATCTAGTGAATAATACCTTATCTTAACATTACTGCTAACATTCTGGTGTTGGATATATTGACTTCCAGTCACACCTGCCTTTGTGGCATAAATAATCTTCTAAGGTATTATGAAACTCCTTGATGCACACCCATATTTCAGAGTTGCTGGAAGGTCTGGTTTTGCTGCTTGCATGTTTCTTTTTTTAGGTGTTGTCGGTTCCTGGAACAGTTTTTCTCTCCGCTTACTCTCCTGTCTGAACCTTTTATCCCTTTTTCCTTTTGGCAGGATCGCTGCAGAACAGAGCAGTAGGTTGGCAAAATATAGAACACTGCGGTAAAAGGGTTATTTACTAGTGACCAGCTCTTCTTCCTAGAAGTAAGGGTCTTTGGATGTTGCCTTTCCTAAGCATGCTGGCTGCTTCATTTCATGCTTCTTGTTCACCTCTCTCTGTGCCAAATAGAATCTTAACAAATTGCCAAGCACATCCTTGAACCTGAAAGAGCCTCATTCCTTGAATTACAGTTAGTTTAACATTATTCAGATTACTCTCACTTTGTTCCAAGTCTGTGTCATGTGATAATGGATACCTACATGCTAACCTTTGCTTACTAGAGATGCTGACCAATTTAAAACTATTCTAAGTAAATTTGCATTTTCCTAAGTGTCATAATTAGCACTATTGGTAGTACTATCTGCCTCTCCTGTTCTATTAATATCAGGCACTTAGCTTCATTAACATTGCTACTCCACTGTGTCTTGAGACCATAACCTTAGCTCTGAAGGGAGTGTGTGAGAGCTTGTAATGTAATAAATGATCTCAAGAGACAAGCAAGACAAAATGATGTATTTCCCCCACTACAAATCTGCTGTTTAAATACAGAGCAGCTGAGAGAGCCCTTGAAACTAAAATTAGTATTATGGGAAACTGCACTACATACAACCCTTCAGTCTGTTGCTTCATCCACTTACCTCAGTTCACGTCAAGTACTGGCATTAGGAAGGGAGAAATGAACCTGGAGCAGTAGACTAGAACAGTGATGCACAACCTGTGGTCCTCCAGGTGTTTGGGGCTCCAACTCCCAGAAGCCGTAGCCAGCTTACCCAATGATCAGGAATTCTAGGAGCTGAAGTCAAAATAGCTGGAGGGTGTCAGGTTGTGCACCATGAGGCTAGAATGTAAAGTACAAGAATATTAAAGTTCAGCTCCCTTTTTTTGTACACTGCCTTTACTGTTAAAGTTACTAGAGTAGCATGGACATCTGTCAGGGCTTGTCAGATGTATGTTTCTCATGCCTTGTTTCTAATTAAGTCATAACTTAGAATGTAAAGATTTCTTCCTTTTCCATTTATTTTAACAACCATAGCCTAAAAAATAAACAGATGTAGCATTGCTTGACAGCTGCAGATCTCACCATCCTCCCCCACTATAGGCTGTGCTGCACTATGTAAATAATACTAATAATGATAATAATAATTGTTCTAATCACTGGTTGTACTGACAATTGCTGATGGAGCTTTTTGTCCAATAGTATTGGGGGTATGACATTATTCCCACAACTCCATCGGTTTTTCTCATAATTGTAATGGCTAGCTAGCAGGAACAAAGTGAAAGCTTTTGCTAACCATACTTGCCTAATTGTGTGTCTCTCCTTCCTGTTGGGCTCTGTTGCTTCACTGATCCAAAAATGAGAGGCTTAAGTGGTCAAACTAGCTGTGTTGTTTATTTTTTATCTGAATTAGATTCAAAGTGTTGCATTATCAGTTCATATTAGTACCATAGTATTGTGCCTGAAGTTGTGATTGTAGAGTAAAATGAGTACATTAGTACAGACTGTGTCTCTATATTGTCAGCCATGTGCAAGAGAAACATGTCAGTTTGTCAAAGACAGTGGTTTTCAACCTGTGAGTCCCCAGATGCTTTTGGCCTTCAACTCCCAGAAATCCTAACAGCTGGCAAACTGACTGGAATTTCTGGGAGTTGTAGGCCAAAACATCTGGGAACCACAGGTTGAGAACCACTGGTCTAAGAGAACATTTGAGTTTGCTGTATCCTAAAATAATCTAAAGAAGATGCATGCATAGCATCTACTTTACCTCTCCTTTCCCCAAACATGCTATTATTTCATGAAGTAAAGAAAAATTAAAATGCTTGCTTCAATTACAAAATTGTAATTCTGAGCAATCTGGAGAGCCTGTTAAAGTTAAAATGATGTTGAAGCAAACTTTGCACAGATTAACTCCATGGGAAGAATTTTAAGGAGTAAAATACTCTGATAGGAGAGACTGAGAAAATTGTTCAAGTAAACAATGAAAGTTATGCTGCTATACTTCTGAGGTTTCTGTGCTTTGATCTTCTAGTGTCCATGTAAACAAAAAAAGCTAGATTTTTCTCTCTCTCTGAAAAAATGAATCTTAGTCCATTGGCAAAGGAATTGTGTTCTTCAGCATACTTAAGTCAGCACAATAGTTTGTGTGGCATATCAAGTCTTCTCAGTAATAGAGGAGTGGAGCCCGCACAGTGGGTTAAATCAGGGGTCCTCAAACTGTTTAAACAGAGGGCCAGGTCACAGCCCCTCAACCTGTTGGAGGGCCAGATTATAATTTGAAAAAAGCATGAATGAATTCCTATGCACACTGCACATATCTTATTTGTAGTGCAAAAAAACCTTAAAAACAATACAATAATTAAAATGAAGAACAATTTTAACAAATATAAATTTATTAATATTTCAGTGAGAAGTGTAAGCCTGCTTTTGGCTGATGAGATAGGATTGTTGTTGTTGTGTGCTTTCAAATAGTTTCAGAGTTAGGTTGACCCTGAGGGAGGGCCACGTAAATGACAACAACCAGGATGTTGGTCTCCAACATGTCCTACTTCTAGACAGTCCCAAAGGATGCCAGATTGCGTACCACAGCTCCAAATTCTGGGCTTATGTGCTGATGCCATAGATATATAAAATATGTACTCTCTTGCACACATCAACATCAATGAAATATTTTGATGCCAGACTGGATTGTAAGCATACATTCAAGTTTACAAATTCTGAGTTTTGCTCTGCAAAGTGAGTTTGAGGGGGTCTTTGATGACATTTTGGAGTCTTTGATGACACTTTACGAGCACTTTCATTCTGTATGTGAATGACAGGGAGATAGCTTATTTGATTTAAAAATAATTAACAGTTTTGAGCTGGGAAGTCGAGTATGTGTAGCTACAAATTTAGTATGAATTCTGAGTTGCAGTCTCTTCCCTGTTTATCTGTGAAAATAATTCCAGTTTGAGAGGGGTTTCAGGAATGCATTTCAGTGATGGAAATAGCCAGGTTCACAAAGTAGAACCTAATCAAAGTGATCTAGGAATCATGTCTTTGTTCTGTGCATGTCTTCTCAGGAGTAATCCCCAAACCAATTTTCCAGGTTGCAAGTCTAAACTTGTGTTTCATCCATAAACACATCCATCGGCAAACCCGAGCTCATATTTCATGCAGATGGACATTCTCTTCCCTAGTGTCTACAATTTTGGGATAATACTACCATGTATTGTAAAGCTATTGTAACAATAATATGAGCACTGTTTGGAACTCCTGGTTGCTTGATAGTTAATTACTATAGGTTGTATATACTAAAAATATCCTTCTCTTGTCAAAGGAAAGACATGAAGCTACCAGGTGAGAGTTACCTTAATAAGGTAAATTAACTGAGGCAGCATTGTTTCCTGTGTGCTTTTACCTTACGCCATAAATAAATGCAAATATTTGAGTATGTTTTTTGTTTGAAAAGATACTGTATAATGCAACAAGAATGCCTTCACATGCATATGACTTACTCTTTGTTTATCTAGTAGCCTTTAGTTTTGGAATAATTCCAAAAGTTTAGATGCTTGCTATTATTTTCACCACTGCACCCCTTACCTTTTAATTGCAGATCATATTTATACACTTTCTCCTGTTTGGGGGTTAGCAGTGTGAAATATAGTAAACACACAAGGTATGCTAATTCCACCCTTCCCTTCGTCTTCTGCAAAGAAGAGCTTTCTCTGTTTTTGCAGGTTCTCCCTACAATTTGGAACTCTGGAGGAAAAAAAGTTCCAAATTCAGAACTCTATCTTATGAAAATAGAAGATGAGCCACCCTCCATGTGTAGAAAGTGGTGGATGGGAGCTAGCGTGGTCTTCATTTAGGCTTATTATTTCCATATTTCTAAAGACAGAATAAGACTTTAACACTCAGCTTATGTTGGGAATATGAGGGTATTTTAAATTTTGCTACCTCTTTAAAAAAAAAAAACCATTCAATTTCACTGAAAAAATCCATAGATACATGTTTAATTAGGCTATAATGCTGCATGGTGAACCCACCATGTCTTTGGTTTCAGTCTGCTTTGGTAAGCCACAGTTGCTTCCCATGTCTCTGTGGAAGCTTCTCACACAATCCTGTGATTAGCAATAGCAGTGCTTTTGCTTTTTCAATTGTAAACCACCATACAGCTGCCTCTGTGGGAACATAGTAAGCAATATAAGCACTCCTGCAAATTCATTCAGGAACAACCATGCAGAAATGTCACTACTGCTGCCAATTGCAAGGCAGCAAGCAGCTTTCCACGGGGATATGGTGACTGGTCACAATGCCAGTATTCCTGCTTGGTCACTTGCAAACAACCATACAGGGGCACTGCTCATTACAGAGCAGCAAGCATGTTCTACAGGGATATGGCAAGTGAAAGCCGTGCTCCTGCTTCATCTTCCATGAATGACTGTGTAGGAGTACTGCTTCAATCCCAGGATGGCGAGTAGTAGCTGCACTTTTACTAGGTTGTTACTAGAGGTGCTTTGAATGCAATTTTCCTCCTTCTTGGTAGGGGGTTGGACTAGATGGCCCATGAGGTCTCTTTCAACTCTATGATTCTATGTTTGTGAAAAGCAGCTCAAAGGGGAAAGCAGGCAGCTGTCAGTCTGCCTCCCTGCTCAGTTTGTAATAGCGACTTGAGCATAAGCTTTTATTGGTATCTGCAGGGGACCTGAAACCAATCATTTGTGAAAGCCAGGGACCCCCTGTAAACACATAATTGGATGTAAGACCTGTTAAGCACAGTTGTACTTTCAGTTTTGTTAATATCTATAGAATAGAGCTGCAGACATGTATTCACTGTATACAACAACACTGAAGTGCAAAGGTTTGAAATTCAGGTCCTGCCCATCTGTAAATTAGATGTAGTATGGCATAATTTTAGCCTTATGTTGTTGTTATCTCTTCATTGTGCCTGTAAAAGGATAATCATGGCGATTTGGTGTTTTCAATATGGAATTTAACTTTGAGGATATTTTTGTGTACTTGCAGAACACACTAATGTCAGAAGAAAGGAAGAACTGAAGGAAGATCAGTTTGAGGTACAAAGGAAAGGAGCCAAAGAAGAGTTTAAAGGCCAGAAACTGAAATGTGGAAAATAATTGCCTGTAATGTTGGAAAGATGTCTTTTTTTTTTTTTTACAAGAAGTGTTTCCCCACTGTTTCTGTTCAGTGTCTGAAATGCTTTGTTTCATGACATAAAAATTCTTGCCTACGACCCGGAATGATAGATATTGATGAGCCCCAAACCTGTTGTTTTGTCTTTTTTTTCCATTAAAATAAAATAGACAAAAAGGAGCAGTTTTTGCATAKATTCTGATTCACCAAGCTTGTACGTTTGGGCTCTCTAGATCATGTTTTCATGGAGACATACACTATTTCATGAACTACTTGGGGGGGGGGGGGATTTGAATGGCTGAAGAAACTTAAGGAAGTAAAAAGTAGGTTATAATGTGTTTTGAGGAATTAAAAGGCCACTTATATTTGGACTTTCAATCTAGGTATACACCTGTGAAGTCTCCAGGAAAATGCAGTGGCCTTTGAAATAGGAACAGTAGCATAACCAGACCTTGTTTCTTCCTTGATCTGTCATTGCCAGAGGTACATGACCATTTCAGTACCAAAGGGATTGTGCTGTAGGACGTGGAAGCATACAGTTTATATACCTATGATCTATAAACCTTCCTCCCCAATCATGATTTATGATGCATTAAGTTTTCCTTATATCTTAAGGAATCCTGTTGTTTGGTCAAAATAGAATCATTCAATCACATTTCAAGTACTCTACTGATGAGTATCAGCAAATGTTCGACCACATTGATTCAATTACTCTGAATATTTGCTTTTGACTATGAATATTCCCTTAATTTCTTTCACTAGCTCGCAGTAGCTGGAAAAAGCTATCTGCAGCCTTGAAATCAGCAAAATTCTTTCCATTAATGTGTTAAGGTCAATTCCCAGTTCATCAGCACAGTTCTTGTTTGTGGTAGTTTCAGTACTGGGAGACATTTCCTCATTTTCCAGTTGATCGCATACATCTGTGTCTTGACATTAGCTCTCCATAGAAGATAATAAAGAATTGGATGTATAAAATTTGCTGTATATATATTTTATTTTTGAACCAAACCCAGACAACACATTCACCAATCTATATATGTAGTAAATGTAGGGAACATACATTTCCCTCATGCAGTTGTAAGTATGGTAGAAGATTACATTTCTGACAATATCAGCACTCACTGGCAAATGTTTGTTTTCTTATAACAGTTTCAGGAGTTTGAATTCTTAACCTTCAAACTTGAGAATGCCATTGACCAGAATGAGATGGGAATAAGCTGATTTATAATTCCATGAGCTTGGTCAGAGTACTGACTAGATGGTTTTGGTTGCAATCTTGAGACCTAGACAGAAGGGAAATAGAAGAGCTTGACAAAATACTTCTGGTTTACGTCGGATATAGGATTATCTGCTAGGAACACTTGATTACATAGATTGGGAAACAATATAATGATTGGGGGATATTATTAAAGGGTTTATTCAATGGACATGGAAAGAGATACCTAAACCACTTCATTTCAGTCAGCACTCAGAGCAAGATTATCTGAGGCTATCCTTGTCTGATTGCCTACAAATCCATCTGATAAACCAGGGGTTGGGAAAATCAAGGTGGAAGACTTAGTTATGCATTCATAAATAAGTAGGCAATGTAAACAGACATTAACTCTGTATTTTTAGGTGGCATTCAGTGCTGTGGGTACACCTAAGAATATATTATTGTATAAACCTATTTGTATAATCCAGTGAATATGCTTACTAACCTCTTATTCTGTAACATGGCTCCCAAGAAGTTTCTCAATACCATCTGCTGGTGATAGTGACTGTCCATAAGAATGCTGTCAGAATGGCGCCTGGTCAAGAATTCATGGTCTTCATCTCCTAGGCTGCCTTCTCTGCAAAAAAAAAAAAGAAGAAGAAGCCAGTGTGGTTGTAGTGAACCTAAATGAACCCTGCTTTGTTGTGGAGCTTGCACATTGAGTCTGAAAAAATTAATCTTAGCCTATCTTCAAACAGCTCATAACTTGATAACATTAGGTCACCTGATGTCCTTGACAAGTGGTACTTGCAAGAAAGTGTCATACTATCAGGACTAACAAATTGGAGCTGGAGTTCATAACATTTGGGGAGCACTAGGCTGGAAAACCCTGTACAGGCAGTCCCCAAGTTACAAACATCTGACTCACAAACTACTCATAGTTAAGAATGGAGCTGAGGCAACAAATTCTACCTTGAGAAAGGGAAAAGACTTATCATGGGGAAAAGGGGTTTCCACTGAAGCTTTAGCACCAATCCTTGTTTCCACAACAATCCAAATTATTCAAAATCCAATTATAAAGGGGGCAGAAAGTGAGGTGAAATCTTCTGAACGGGGACACAGATAGCAAACAAACCCTATGCTACCCAAAGCTTATGTATACATCTACACACACACACTTAAAATGTGCCTGTTCTGACTTGCATACAAATTCAACTTAAGCAAACCTACAGGACCTATCTTGTTGGTAACTTTGGGACTGCTTGTAGTCTAAAAGTGCATGGAGAAATGGCGTATCCAGTCCAATTACTATCTTTAGATCACACAGGAAAGTTCTTACCATTTTAAAAGAAAGATAAACTGAATCTTTTTATAAACTGGCATGTGTAAATTCTTTAAGAATATAATAGTCATAAGATCAATGTTTATATTTGTGCCATCAAATGAAGCCCCAGTTTTTTACTGGCAAGTGTGAGTGGGTTCTTGCAAGACATTTTCTTCGAATGCAGCCCACTGTGAACTTTAAGAGCATCTCTGGAGAGACATCTCTTACATTCTAACTTCATGAGCTAAATTGGGACTATAGCAGTCTACCCTCCCTGGACCAGAATGCTTGACAGACACTACCAAAATAACAGTGAGAATGAATAATGATACCCCACTTACCCAAGTCTTTTCCCAACGATGCCCTGCAATAACTTCTGGGCTGACAGCTTGCCTCTGACTTTACGGTAACTGTCAGTGAATATGGCATCTGCATGACGTTTTGTTCTAAAGAAACGCAGGCATGTAATCATTGTGTGAGGATGACTCCTTCCAAACTGGCATCATGCATAGAATCATGTGAAGGTTAGCTTCTCACCTCATTTAGATGTAGCAAATCCCATAATTTACATCTTTTTGTGAGCATGCAGCCCACTTAAGGATGGAGAAAGGCTACTTGTGTTGGAGCATTGTGTGCTTCTGAGTATTTGCAAAGTATATGAAGGGACAAGATGGATACAAATAGAAATACTAAAATGTTAAAGATCAATAGCACTTGAACTGAGTAAACCTGAATAAGGTGCATCATGGGAAATGCCTTTATTTTGTTTTTGTTGAAGTAATGTATTGTTGATACAGAGCTACAGCATTCTAACTCTTATATCTGAAATGCCCTGGACCCATCTAACATCTACATGGAAATATGGCTACACTGAAGTACACTGTGGATGTCTTACAACTATGGCCTAAATCCAACAGCCCAAAAAGAGGAGGCACATGGGTTTTACATAATTTTTGGCTTGCCTTTCAGCAATTGTTTCCAGAGGTTTATTCAGCCTTGACATTGAAATTAGATTCAGGTTTATAATTTGTATATCATATTTTAATTTTTAAAATATTGATAATGTATTCAAGCTTTTCTGGAAAGCCATTGGTGCTTCCTTCATATATATTGCATAATGAATCTATAAAAGTGACTGGCACAAGATGGGATCACTAATGTTTTTACTAGCTTTTTACATCTCAGCATCCAAGTCCTGCTATCTGCTCCCTTGGACGGTAGATTTGTCATGACATAAAAACAGAAAAATGTTAGCGGATTACTTGGTTGTTATTTTTTACTGCCAGAGATCACAAATCAGAGACAGTATGCAAGTAATGTGATGGGAATATTGGTAGCTTATGATCTGAGCAAGATAGGTGGCACCCCCACCTTTTCTAAGTGAGGTGCCCTCATGTGCCCTGCCAGTGTGCTTTTTTAGAAGCAACAGCTCATAGAATGTCTATAGATTTCAAACAGTGTTGATGGGCTTCCTAGCAGCATTTGGCATGGCCACTGAACAAAACACGGTATTAGATTAGATGGACACAAAAGAGTGATCTAGGAATGATCTTGCATTCTTTTGACATGTAGATTTGGGGAGCTAATACACTCACCTTTTCTCAGGAGGGCTAGTCAGAAACTTCTCCTCTTCTTGTTCTTCCACTGAGAGATTGTGGCTCTGTACCGGACCACTTTCTTGTAACTGAAAGCTTACTGCCTTTCCAGAAATGGGCAGTGGACTGTACCTAAAACAGCAAGCCAGATATAATATGACAGATACTCAGAATAATCCTTAATGTTTTGAGTGCACAATACATTCAGAATAGACATCACCAAACTATCCTGGAAGGGGAGTGTTATCTGTGAGATCCAACTGTACTTCAAAGTGTCTTCTTTTCTCAAAATATCGGTCTGTTTGTTTGATGTGTTGGTTACAATTTCATCCAACTCACCCTCTACACAAAAACGATTATCCATTATTTCTTGTTTTAGCAGTATTGTTGCCAGTTTGATGCAGAGAAATAAAGTAAAAGCACATACAACAAAACAACAAAGCAACTACACATATAAGAACAATTCCAGCAGAGCATGTCTGATAGCTTTTAAAACAAAAATAATATCAATGTTTACCCTTAAGAGCAAGAGCATTTTGAGACAAAGGGCTCTGTGTGCTAGTGATCAGAAGGCACTGTACAGCTATTACACCTCAGTGGGAAATTGGAAAATCAAAAGAGTGCTGTGCGGGGAGGTCAACAACAACTTTGACATCCAGACTTACAAACTATAACTCTTTTATCCCACAACTAATAATAAAACAAAGGATGTGAAATGCAAGAAACAACAGATATTTTATCTGTTGTGTTAAGATATCTTTCACTACTTTAATGAGCCCCTTTTCTAAAAATGTGCCAAGCATATTGCTCGGTTTGACTTCTACTATTAGAGAAACTTTGGGATCCAACCCAATATTTTATTCTGGTTTTGTGAGTTTGTTTTGTTTTGAGTAGGCAGGAAGATAAGGATGAATGCCACCCACCGAAGTGCTGGATAGAGAGGAGAGGAGAGGGAACGCATGACAAAATAGAGGAGGAGAATAGCCCTATACAGCATTTTTCACTCTTCTGGGTCAATCTGCAAAAAAATAGGAAGAAGAATAGGGGAAGGAGAAAATTAGGATTCATTAGTATTGCAAAGACAGGCTCATATGCAGCCTTGGAGACATCATCCAAATAGTACACCTGGGCTACAACAAGTGGGTCTACTACACTGTCCTCTATGCACACATCGTTGATTTATTTCAGTGACCCACCAGACAGTTGCTGAGCAGTAGTGCATGGCAAGGGGTTGGACTGGATGGTTTTTGTGGTCTCTTCCAACTCTGTGATTCTTTGATTCCATCTTTCCAACTAATGTATCAGTAATTTAAAAATAAAAATAGTACTGTAGTAAAGCAAGAAATAAACACAAGTTAGGTTGTGTCCAGAAGGGCACAATCCAAAATGATCAAAGTCAAGCCCTATGAGGAAACTGAGGGGACTGGGCCTGTTTAGCTTGAACATGATAGCCATATTTAAATATTTGAAAGAATGTTGTACTAAGGAGATGACAGGCTTGTTTTCTGATGCCCTAGGAACTAAGGCATGGTGCAAAAGATTAAAATTGCAGGAAAAGAGGTTCCACCTAAACATTAGAAAACTTCCTGACAGTAAGAACCGTTCGACAGTGGGACTGTTCTTCCTTGGAGTGTGGTGGAGTCTACTCCTGAAGTTTTTAAACATACACTGGATGGCCATATATCGGAGGGTGCTATAATTGTGTGTCCCTGCCTCGTAAAAGGGGGTTGGACTAGAGGGCCCTTGTGGTTTCTTCCAACTCTGTTTCTAAGTCTAGCAACAAAATGTTGCTGTTTGGAATCTCTAAAACATTGTATTCTATGGTCATTGATCACAGATGTATCCACATGATGCAATTATAGCACTTTGATATGTCTTTAATGGCAGTGACTCTACTCTATGGTACCCCAGGAATTTTAGTTGCAGAGGTTGATACTATTATAATTCAGAGAAGGATACTTCAGACCTCAAATCTCAGACTAACAAAGGGCATTGCATGGGTAGTTCAAGTGGCAAAAACTTCTCTTATTTATACAGTTTGGATATCCACCCAGTTCTCTTCAAGGATTCTCCTTTGTTGATTCTCCCCTTTAGGCCCGTAGCCAGGATTTTGATTCGGGGGGTGCTGAGTTTGATTCGGGGGGGGGGGTGGTTGATTCGGGGGGGGGGGGTTGAGGATCTACCCTAGCAAACCTTTTGTATCGTTATCCCAATAGCATATAGGATATATTGAGCATGGTGATTAGATCATGAATAAACATAACAATTTAAATAATGTACCAGTAAGACCTTCTTGCGGACCACCCTGAGAATTTCCCGGGGGGGGGGGGGGGACTGAAGCCCCAAGCCCCCCCCCCCGCTACCTGCCTGCTCCCCTTTTGTTTGTGGGTGATAGCATTTAAGTTGCATAATGAATGGCACTCAAACAGCATAGACCCTGGAAACCAAGCGAGCAATTATCACAGAAATGCATACAATTTTGCTTCCAGCTGGAAGACTAGGCAGATTCACTCTCAAGCGGGATCTCCACCTGCTGTTTTAGAACTGTAAAAGGACAGGAGAATTCATTTCATAAAGTGACCCTTCAGTTGTAATCTACAACCCCATGCAGTCTGTAACTGGTCCATTATCCTGGTGCGTCTAAGTGGCTGAAAGAGGGTGTTTTCATATAACAGGATCACTTTCTGAATGTCAAGGGATGTAGTGCTTGGATTTCCGGGGTTGTATGGATTAAATCTTCATACATTGCTATCTGTTTTTTAACCTCAATTACTTCCTTACATTCCAGAGCCAATGAAGATTTTTATTTTATTTTATTTTTTTGAGAAGGGTAACTACAACTCCCAGTATCTGGGATTTGAGAAGGTGTAGTCTAAAAATGTAAGTTTTCTAAGTTCTGCTGCATGCTTATTATTCATTTATTATTCATTCAATAATGTGAATAATCTTATGAACACTTTTTTTTTTTGCAATGTGCAGTTAGGTTTGTTGTGGATCAGTTTTCTATCTAAACGCCATGTTAACTGGTCTCAAGACCAGAATAGCAGTGATAAAAATAGTTATTTTATCTCTCTTTTCTTTTTGTGATTCAAGGGTTTTGATATTTCTAAAGATATTTTTAAAGGGTGTTTCTTTCCTCTGCACTAGATTTAGTTGACAGCTCAGCAAGATGTTACTGGATTTAAGAAATTGAAGGCACTGTTGTTTTATCTTGGCTTTGGGATGGAGCAGGAGATAAAGTGATGGATTCAGTGTGCATTATGGAATAAAAAAGGAAATCCATTTTTAGAAGAAAAACCTTTGATTGTCAACGAAAAATGCATCCCTGTTATCTGATAGTACTTCGAAAAACAGTTGAAGTGCTACTTAATCATAGTTGCAGAGATAATGATGCAGTCACAGTTAGAGGCAGATAAACTGTTTACTATGCCAGGGATTTTACCTCATCAATCTAGAAAATAACACAAAAGGCGTAAAGCTAAAAGCAGTCCTTTAGCCTTGAATTTTGTTTTGGTATAGTATTATACCTACAATCCATTGTTGCTGTGGGGTTTTCTCAGCAAAATTTGTTCAAAGGAAGGAACAAATTCCTGCTACTGCCTTCCTCTGAGGCTGAGAGTGTGTGACCTACTCAAGGTCACCAAGTAGGTTTCCACAGCAAACTCTAGTTTCCAGGTCTAACACCCAAACCAGTATAACACTACCACTGAGTTTAACAGAACTTGCTTTCACTTAAGTGCGTATAAGATTGCTGGTTAAGACTGACATTTAAAGGTCTATGTATTTGAAATTAATGGAATTTAGTTGTCATAATTGCATTGTCATAGCTTTTCATACAGAAAATGGTTGTGTAAGAACATTGAAAATTCTAAAAGGGTACCTGCATTAACAAAAGCAAAAAATAAAACATAGGTACATGTTTCTTTTAGCTTTGAACAGTTTTTATTGACATTTTCACATTTAGATAAAAGTTAATCAGTCATGTATCATTTCCTCACTCACTTCCACTTCTAATTTTAACATACTTGCAATCTTTTTTCCATAAACAAGCTTGCAACTAACCTCTGCACTGACTACACATTATTCAAAAATTTGAAATGCTCTTAAATCCAAATGGTCCACATAGATGGCAGAGATACTTTTGTTTTCTAATAGTTCAGTGCACACAAACTTTATTTTGTGCACAAAACTATTTAAAATATTGTGCATAAGGTGCATATGAAACGTGAATGAATTTCATGTTTAAACTTGGGTCCCATCTCCAAGATTTCGCTCTCTCTTTCTCTCATATTCCAAAATCTGGGGAGAAGCCCCAAAACAACTCTGTTCCCTAGCATTTTGGACAGATGGACATGTAAACTACTCAATATGTAGTTTACATGTCCATTCTTTTTTTGGAGCTGAAGAAAAATAAATGAAAAGGCAGGGGCAGATTTTTAAAGTTTTTATTTAAAAAACAACAGGAACGCTGAAGTCTGTGTTAGATATATGAGCTAGAAAATGCTCTATTTTGCAAGTATGATGAAATCTTCTAAAATTATGTGCTGTCTACATGCTGTCAGAGTCCAATTATAAATATTTCAAACTGTAATTTGCAGTCCAATCCTATGTGCGTTTCCTTAAAAATGCACCCTGTTGTGGACTGGTTTCCAAGCCAGAGAATTTTTTTAAACCCTGCAACCTACAAAGTTTCTTGCAAATAGATAGGGAAAAGGGGATGAAGCAGCTCTCTCGTGGAAATGTAAAAATTAAAATTTAAAATCCATGTATCTATTTAAACTTACCTTTGGGAACAACGCCCTCACAAGTCAGCACACTCTTTTTTGACCTTCCTCTTCGTTTTTTCTTACTTTTATCGTGTCCTGGGAACAGGGGAGCACTCCAGATTTTTCTAATCTGAGTGGCTGGTCTGTTGCTGTTGCATTGCTGCATCCTCTTTTATATCTTCACTCCCTCATCAAACCTGCACGCTTGCGAACGTCAGAGGATCAATTATGTCCCCGTCATTGAAATAGCTCTGTTTAGAAAACTGTGTATTGCAAATGAGGGTACATGCAAGATGGAAGCTAGTACTGAGTGGTCAACATGCCAATCATTAACATCACCATAGCTGGGTATAAAAAATACCAAATTTATTTTGTTGAATAAACTTTTTATTTCTTTAAAACATCAGTTTTAACATTAAAAACAACAATGAGCAATACTGCTCATTAATATGTCATATCCTCCCTCTCCTGCAAAAGAATTTGTAACTTCGTTCTTCAGTCATTCCTGCATGGCAAAGGGGTTGGACTAGATGCCCCATGTGGTCTCTTTCAACTCTATGATTCTATGTCTGGTTTATCATTGTAGCATCTTATGTTCTTCCCAATCATCAGCATTGTTCTGTTTCCACTGGAGTTTTTCATTGCTAGAGGTAGCAGAGAAGTTCATGACACAGGCACTTGCAAATGTCTCAAGAAAATAAAGTATCCAGAGGTTTTGAATCTTAGAGCTGGAAGGGGCTTTAAAGTTTATCTAATTTTCTGCTAAATTGAAAGAGAATCTGCTGTCTCATCTACAGTAAATTATGTTGTATTATAAATTCTTCATATATTGTTGGAATCACCTTTCTTGTAATGAAAGAAAGATCCATTTGTCTGAAACCTATTTTCTGGAGCAACAGACATTTCCGCCATCTTTATGTCTGTCATATTGCTTCTTCGTTTCTTTTCTCCAAATTTTAACTGTTTCTATAGGACTGCTCCTCTCCACCTTGATTAACTCCTAGACACATTCCAGTTTTTCAATATATATATAGATATATAGATATATTATTTTTTACCCATTACTGCTCAAGCAGGGAGCTTTGAGATGGTAGAACAGAAGCTTTCCGAAACTCTAGGTGTTCTTACTGCCTATTACAGGGAAAACCAGCTGATCCCCAACCCATCTAAAACACAGACATATGCCTTTCATCTCAAGAACAGAGAAGCATCCCGAGCTCTGAAGATCACCTGGGAAGGAATCCCACT